GCTGGCGGTAAATTCAGTCAAATTTAGCGTGTCTCTGGGTCACGCTAGTCGGCTAGCCGGGAGAGGTCGGGACCAGGCGGTGTAAACAGGAGCATCAACAGTGCATAGGTTGGGCGGTTGGCGGTGAACGCTTGATGTTGGGGGGGGGGGCGGAGAGGGAAAGAGGCGGGCACAGTAGCTCTGGTGTCAATCGGTAATATGGCTCCGGTGAATGCTTCCGAGCGAAGGTAGGCCGTCTGATCGTGCAGGGCAAAGGTGCCGGAAGGTGTCGAAGAAGAATGAGTTGTACATTATTGGAACGTGTTGTAACACCAAAGAGTGCGTACAAACAGAGAAAAATTTCATGCACTGATGACGATCCCCTAAGCCACAATAACGATTAGCGACTCTGAACTAAGGGAAAAATTTTATTAGGTCATCCTAGGACCACGAAGAGATCAGAAATCCAAGGAAATTAATGCACAAAAAATTGCGAGTAAATGAGAGGGATCTGAGAAACTCTACTGTTGAATTATGATGCAACTTTATGCGAGAAGACAATTTGGATAGCCCATTATACGAGGTAGATATTAAGGGGAATTTGTTCTCGTGATAGTAAGAAAAAAATGAACGCTGATTTATGCCAACCATTCATTACAACCAGCGATAGAGCTTCGCCAATGGCCTATCTTCTCATATTACCAACAGTTTTAAGTTTAAAATCTAAATGTAGGCGCAGAAGTGAATGCGTTCGTTTCATTTTTAAGTCGCTGTCACCTACACATTCAATTATCATCCCGCGCCACGATAAACGCCACTAAACCCCTTTTACGCACATGCTTATGAGACTACAGAAACAATATTCATAATTCGAAAGCTTATAAACAACAATTCCATTTTTTCGAGTTCCAGATGTCCAGAGGAGAGATAATGTCGAAATTTAAAGCCTCCGCATTCAAAAGGAATTTTTTCATCGCCTGTTTTAACCATCACTGACAAGTTGATTTATAAACCTTAATCATTTGGTTGAATAAATAGGTTTTTTTCTGGTGAACGAACACTTAATACTGACAATGATATTCCTATAAATATGACAAATGACGACTGTGGACGTAAAATACTGGCAACAGTAAAGGAAGAAACTCAGGATTACGTCTTGACAATCGAGAAAAACCGAAGTTTAGCAAAATCGGTAGGGGCTTGCTGAGGCCTTGTTTAGACAACTCCTCATCGCCTGTGATAGCTGACTTCAACCGACGTACTTTGCTGTTAATTTGGCGTAAATCCAACTCATGCATAAACATTTATGAAGCCGAGGTAGCCGCCCAGTGACATTCATCAGACAGCCTCTGATCGTGGTCTAGGCGTAGTGATTGGACTTTAATAGTATAGACAATTTATTTGCTCATCGCCAGAGGAAAACCCTGCCAAATCATATGCTAATACACAGTAAGACTCACGAAATGATGAATGGAAATCATCGACATAATTTCTAATGGGGGATAATACTTACTTGCTTACAGTTGCATAACTGGTTGGCGTTATACATTATTCCGAGATAACTTATATATAGCAGGACGCTGGTTCCTAGTTGAATCCGTTCTGAGTTACAGTTGCAAACAACGTTTATTTAGCTCGTATTTATTGGTTGGCTGTCTGGCGTTTACAGTATCTGTATTGTATTTCCTAAGTGAATGAATACGATTTCATTTTAACCCCTCATCCTACACAAATGCGTTTTTTCAAATGTTGCGCCTGTGTTAAGGGAGTATTTCCATCTTAAAACGTTTGCCTGTACCTGTTATATGGCCCCTGTCGTTGAATTCACTTTTTGACTTTCAAAGCACATGCCACGCTTCTCCATCACAATTACTATAATAAATCCCGTCCCTATAAAAAGGTCTCCTGGTGTTGATAAAATATTAGCGATTATGTGGCTCACGCCAATACTTTGTGATTTCCCGTTGGCTCCTCAGGATTTCCCATGACTGTAAGCAATATGCCTCTTTTGTTCTAACGCCGTGTCTAAAGTAAACCCGCTTTTCCGTAAAATGCAAATAGGGGAAGACATTTTCATCCATTTCTCTCAGAAAAAGCAAAGTAAATTTTACCAGAGGTAGACATTCGACTGAAAATTCAGCGGTCGTTGAACGCTCATTTTTGAGCGCAGTTTTCATTGGCGCCTGAAGGGTTGCTCAAACAGTTTTTAATATTTGTGCATTTTACAAATTCGCCTGGGTACTATTTCTCAGCAAAAAACAAGTGGAAAAATTGCGTCTGATGTTCTGTGGGTTTTGGCGCACATAGTGACAGCAGAATGAAACGTGAAAAATGAAATGCATACGGTCAGTACTGGCGATGTCAGAAGTTCTTCGTCTTATTTATTAGTCCAATGTGTTACATCGGAAGCACATTTCCTATGCATAAATTGTTTCTTAGTCATTTGTTGACGAAAAATTGTCTAATTTTGGGGAGAGCGCGAGCCTTCTCTAGGTCTGTACAGTTCTGTATCTTGATTGCTTTTGTGTTTGGTTCTCTGATAGAGCCTTAATCTCGGTGAGAATAGTTTACAGAAAGACCTTTACCAACCCAAAATCTCATTTTCCAATTTGCATAACTAAGAAAAGATAAGATGTAAATATTCGTTTTTCAAACATAGGCATCCTTTTCACATTTCACATCGCTAACCACGGTACTAATGCCAAAACCAATACTTTGGGTGTACGCGTAATTTGCAGATACACACCAATATTATTGAAGTAGTCACAAAATGACTGTGTTTCGGTCAACGTAACGGCCGCATGTATCGTATCGTTCAATTTAATTTTGATTAGTGGGCAAGTTAAGGAGGACACGGGTACAGTGTCAGACCTATAAGGAATATAACGATATTTTATTATAACTCCACGTTTAATTTATAACTATAGAAACGGAGCGAAAATTGGGGAAACAGTTCAAAAATAAAAGAGGACGATTTGCTTGCGATAGAAATGCTATCCAAATCAGTCGAGGAAGTAGATACGCAATCAGTTTTAATCTTCTCCCTGGCTTAGTTTTGGAAAAGGATGGAACACGTGAGCACTCGTCTGTGAAATACCATATCTAGGCACCTTTTAATGAGAAAACGCCTTGGGAAGGTTTCAATTTAATCAACTGCATACCTAACTCGGGCTTCCGATGTGGGGTTCACGTTATTCGGCTATCAGAGTTTGTATTTATATATACCTAAAAATATAATCGTGGTCACCATCTTCGCAAAAAATGTCCGGAGTTCACTACATAGGTAAAAGCTTTCATGTGCTATTTTTTGAAAGTTTTAATAAAAAGCAACCATAGAATCTGTTTTTTGTGCTATCAACTGGGGACACTGCAAACCGCAAAATCGTCCACCGATATTTTAAGGATGTTTGAGGCTCAGTAACCTCCAGAGTCGCTGGACAACTAACAGCAGTCTTACGGAAGAAAACTTCTGCTCAAACACAAAACATGAAATATTTTTAACCGCATAGTCCTTTTATATTCTTAGTTACTAGGCCCATACTGCTCTCAACATGTGACTCTATGGCCACGTTTACATCTATGACATCACTACCAATGAAATTAAACAAAATCATATGAATTGTGTAAAACACATCTTGAACAATGCAAAAAAGAAAAACTTATTAACATACCTATAAATGATTTCGAAATATTTTGTTAAAAATAAAGTAGTTGATCGTTTGCCATATTACATATTACACTAATTATTAGGTGATACTCGTCTAAGGGACTCGTGAGAAACGTTTTTTAACGCCGTTATGCGCATACTGTGTCGTTTATCCGGTCGCTAACATGAAAATCTATTATACCCTTTTGCAAATGACGATCAGTCACTCACTACACATCTGTTCATTTTCGACATTTTCAATTTTCCTAAAAAACAGCTATTCCTAATCGACATAATATTACTGTCGAAATATCTCGTGTGATTTCGTTTAACTGTCAAACGTAGATTCTTATTAGGCGCTTTAGTCGATGTATTTGAGACGGCTCCTGAGTTACTAGAAAGTTTTCAATGATTTAGGCACATCCGGAAATCCAAGTGACGTACCGTATATCGGTTCCACCAGGTAGGTCAGGTTTAGGCAGAATCTCAAAGCAAAAAGAATCACAGAATCCAAAAAATGCATTTTAAAACATCTTAAAAACCAAACTTATGAGTACAGTGACCCTTCCTCACAAAGACAGTATCGCGTACAAATAATGTAGACAAAATGGCACACAAACACCCACGCACTCAATGTGCAAGTCATTCACGATGGGGTTAGAGGCAGAGGGTTCAACACCGGCTTCCCTTTCGGTTCAGGAAACCTGACACGCCGAGTGTGCCTATCTCCCGCGCGATCAACTGAGTCAGGCCTCTGAGAGGTGCGGGCCGGATGGAGCGGCAAGACGAGGAGGTATAAAAATAAAGATCTACCCACAGGCAAGCAGACCTGACACCATAAAATATGCCTGAATTTCCAACTTTTGTGCGGTTGTACAAATGTACAGGTTTGTGAGTCAGACCGGGGCCGGGGGACGGGCAGGGGCTGGGCTGGGCTGGCAAGAGAGGCAGTTGTGTTTCCTCGACGAAGCTTGCTTCAAACCCAACGTACATGCACCAGGATGACTTAGGAATTCAGTCAAAATGTGCACACGGAAGAAAATAATTCACCACGGTCAGGGACTCTGTTGGAGAGGGTGATATACACAACGGCGGGGTCGGGGAAGGGGTGCTCTTCACTGAACTGATGAGCCCGAGGGGCAGCGGTCTGGTGAGGTCTCGGTCGCACTCCTGCGGGCTACGACGATGAAAGGACGAGTCACAAAACTTGCTAGAGGACGATTTACCCTTTTATTTTGTTTCAACATGAACCATTTCAAGATGAAATGCACCGATCCGCAGGAGCCTGACAGAAGGCCGTCTCTCTGTTCTGATTAACAAACTCGCCTGCAAGCAGAGACTTTGGTGTCGTCCATTTGAGACCAAGCAGTAACATCTACCTCATCGGTCCCGGACATCGCCGATAGTAAAGATGGATGTCATCCATGGGACCGTGGTGGCAGGGGGGTAAGATGAAAGATCCGTTGAGTGGAATCGGAAGTCTAGATTAGGCGAGAAAAAAATGACATGAAAAGGTAGTCTAAGGGCAAGCTTCAGTCCACTGGGAGGTTGGAATAAGAGGTGTAGGCCTACAGGGCCCGCCATAATTGAAACGCCTGCATGCGCTTTTACTGGCCAGTATTACTTTGGGTACGACAGGCCTCTAGGGCACGGAGTTGATTTTTTTAGAAGAATTAGGTCGTTCTACGCGTCAACGAGAACCTCTTAGCGAAATGCTTTTGTATCAACTTATAATCCTATGAGGAATCCCATTAAGAATTGAATACATCAAAGCATATGAACGATATTTCTCGGAAAATTCCCCTTTGGATCTTAAAATACCATAAAGAATATTTTTTGAAGTGTATGCCTTTCGAATTAAGAATTGGATCCTAGTTGTGGAAAGAATCAGGGATAGAAAAATACCCAGTCAGCGAGCATACAGAAAGTTATAGTAGGTTGAAGTCTTTGGCGGAAATTACGGTCTCAGGCAATCTATCCTCACGGCGTTGGACTACTGGAGAAAAAGGGATTTTTACTACTTGAGTGGGTCACATTTAAATGTATTTTACAAAAATCTGATCGACCGTAATGTAGATCCTCTGAACAGAAAGGCAATCATTATAATGATCTGATCGAACAGAGTCCTTAGATTTTCTCAGTCTGGGCTTTGACCGGATAAGACTTACAGATCTGTTTTCCCCAGAACGACCAAGCTCCTGTATTAAGGTCCATTCTTTTAAATGACGCTTCATAACCCCTAAATACCCAAAGTTAGACTTTGTCGCATGCTTAACCGACTGGGTTAATTACGCAGTCTCTTTGAAATTCAGCAGAGTGGCAACCAAAAACCATTTATCATGGATTTCATATTACCTTATTTCACCTTTTGGTCTAGTTTCTGCAGCGTTGCAACAAAAGTGGCAAAGCTATCAACTACCTCACCAAGGACGACATCCGACTAGATTTTTTTTCCAGAAAGTGCTACACCTCATGGCTGGCAGATATCGCACACTGATTATCGACCAGTGGCTAACTATGGGGCCAGTAATCGGCACCAGACGCTCTAGATACCGTATGCAATACCGAATTGTGAGCAAGAGGCTGACGTTTGCGGCATGATAGTTCATCCGTCGCGGACCACGTAGACAGCAAATGTCCCGCAGGCAAGGGCGTGACTTGCGCGTGACGTGCATATCTACCTCGTGTCATTCTTCCCCCCGCCTCTCATGCTCCAGTGGCAAGACAGGGTCAAGATGATCGAAGGAGGGTGCAAGGCTAAATATTCCTCTACGCGTGCTGCACACTTGCCAGCTCATATACACATGCGAGACAGAAATCAGATATAGGGATCTCGCAGCCCCCATCAGAAACGGCCATGTGAAGATCGCATTAGGTAGTTGCTGCAGCATGACTCACTAGCGCTCAGTAGGGCCGACTTAGCCAGTCAGTTGGCGGCATTTCGTGCCACGACTTTTAGCTAGTTAAGACTCATCTCGAATTTATATATTAAGTAAAGTAAGTGCCATCTGAGTTTATTCTTTCTTACCTCTGCAATCACTTACTAGAGGCAGGACCGAGTCAACCCGGCCGGAACTACACCACGGAATACTGTGACTGGGGCGGCGTAGAGTCGCCGTCCAAAGGGTGACATGCGCTTTACTGTCGGACTCAACAGGCCAGTCCGTTTAAAAAGCCAGACAGGTAAATAAAGAGGCCTGGACTTACTCAACCTCCGTGAAGGCAATCTTGCCCTCGAGCAGGGCGTCGCAACGTGCGTCGCCCTCGGGACAGGCACAGGAGCAGTCGTCTGCAGTGAACTCTACCAGCTGAAGTGGCGGTACGCACAGCCTGGAGCTGCATCTACGAGAGAAAGCAGAACAGTCAAGTGAACCACCAGGTCACCTTGCGAAAATATCCGGACGTTGTTCAAAGCTCACGACCCATTGGGGGTGTGGAGAGTGTTGGCAGCACGAAGGGGAGAAGTAAAAATGAAAAAAACTGTGGCGCGCAGAAATGAGTGCGAATAGGCGAGTGCACACCACAGTTGTCTGAAAAAACACCAGCACCAACATTCAGACATATGTGGGTAATAATGTTCTGTCAAAAGGTAAGGTACTAGTCCTGCAATTAAGTTATTTAGGGTCAAATGCAGCTAAATATTTCGGGCTTTGAGTGATGAAATAGATTTCTTATAGAACCATTAAACCTCTTTAGCGCATTCCGCCCTGATGTAATCGACACGGTTTAAATTACAGGCCTTTAAGTCCGGAGTAAATGAATGATGGCGGCTCACAACAAAATCTTGAGCTGTACCCTAACTCCTTGGCTTTCCTCGATAAAACCTGTTTGGTTTGGTTTGCCATACTTGAATGTCACTAGTGTCCTACGTGGAAACGGCAATCAAAGAACACTTTCCCGTTATTCCTTGCCGTCCAAAGTTTACTCATGCTAAAGCAATGATTGGAATGTTCCTCTAAAAAGTCCGCTGCTATGTTTGTTAACATGGCAATCATTCGACCTCCATATCTAATTCTGACTTAAAAGTGGGATATGTTTTCTAGTACTTGGGCTCAAGACGGGGTGAACGTGCATTAGCCTCAAGCCGTTATTACGTAGCTCGAAACTAATGGATGTATGCATCGTTGGAGAAAAGTACTAAGTCATGCCATGGGCAAAAAGTCTGGAACGCGGTTATGAGGGAAATTGACTGCGAATATTCCGTATGTGGTTAGTTATGCACCAGAAGAAACCACATAAAATATTTTAAACAATTTTGAGTGGAAGCTAGCTCTGCTGTTGTTTCTTTTAAGTTTCCGCTAGCGTAACCCACTTGAGAGCTCCTCCTTAGCTCAGATGAAATCCGAGGAACGGCATCGAGCCAGTTATAAACATGAAACCCTGACGTGTCATGGCCCTCAAGTTACTGCATACTAACGCACTTACCAGCCATTCTTAAAAGGAGAGATTGGGTTCCACTGCTTTAAAAGGTTACTTCCAGTGATTAACTGTTTGCCTGTCTTTAGGGACGACAATGGAGCAATAGCTTTGTCCTTAGGAAATGACCGAAAATAACGTGGCTTCAATTCTACGTACTTTAAGGTATTTACGCAAATAGCCACAAAAAGGCGTAGAAACCGCATTTCTGCTTACAAATCCGTAAAAATGGCCAAATCTGATTCCCTTGCCAAATTTTAAGCAAGTTTAGTTTGATTTTTTGTAATACGGATCTTCTGAGCTTTTTCACCAGAACGCGCATAAGACATCATTAGTCTACCTCTGTTCAGTTGGAAAAAGGGCAATAACGATAAGAACCCTTGAAGAAGAACATGTGCTCACCGGAGCAGGTTTATTTAGGTGCTGACGTTTCAAAGAGCTCGGTTGGCGCCTCACTTGCGTATCTGTTGCTCTGGACAATAGTTCCTCATCCTAAAGACTTCCATAATGAATATTTTATTAGAGAGTTTGAAATGAACCTTTAAGACTGATGCCGCGGCCTAATAATAACCGCCAATAGACGAAATGCAGTCAGAACAGATAGACACATCTCGTAGATTAACGAAGTGTCTCTTAAGATGCATTATTAGGAAACATGATACGTGCTTAGGATGTAAAAATCAAAGGAATATTAAGATCTAAAATTAGTCGCCAGAGTCAGAGCCATGTTATGCAGCTGATTAATGTTCATAGTCAATCCCTTCCTCGAGCTCGGATAATGAGTTCGGGTACTGGTCGGATACATTGAACGCATAAAACAGTTTTTCACCAACCATTTAACCTGTTTTCAGTGCCTGTCTGGAACTTGTCTTTGTCCGACACGGAAATATGTATCCACCCGTGCTACAGATGGCATCGGGCTAAATTCTCGGGGATTCCTATTTTCGTGTCCTAATTTCAAGTCCAGTCCTAATATTAACTCTAACCCACCAAGAATTTAAAACGGGGAGTCTAGATTCTGGTGGCCAATCCTTGTTTGTCGGCAAACGTACAGTTTACCCACCAGATGCAATTATAACAAAATCATTGTTCTATACAGAGCACGTTAAAAGTGCATGAAATTCCTTCTACGAACTGACATTAGATTTACCATCTCGTCAAATGTTAATTGAAATTTTGAAATGTGTTTTCGGTTCAAAGGGCTTAGTTAAGTAGGGTTGTAATATTAATTATCGTGCAGTATCATCCCAAGTTATTTCAGTCACGTCAGGATGTCAGCTTTTGAACGAGTTACTTAATGGCTGTCTGCGAATGTCCACCTTGCAAAGTAACGACCGAATTTATAGAAATGTTCCCCACTGATTTTTGATGCTCTTATAAATATATTTTATAAAAACATGAGCAAACATATTCCTTTTTTCACTCATTTAGTAGGAAACGTAGTCATGTTAGTATTTTATGTATGAGGAAGGGGTATCCTCCACTTTTGAAGAACTTCTTCATTTCCCGAATAATTTCGAACCCGATCTGCCGTTACACCAGCACTCAGGGTTTTACAATTACCAGCTGTATATTCACCGCGTAAGGAAAACCAAACGTACATGCCATGGACAGCGTTTAACATTTCGTAATGAGCGTTGACCTCGTTGTAAACCTTATAAGCTGCGTTACTAAATGCGCAGATATGACGCTTTGTGAATGAAAATTTCACGGTCATAAAAAATTGCACAATTAGGAGTCATTTTAAAACCGAAAATACCCCTTTTAAGCATAACCTTTTAAGAGGATGCTATTTTCTACTAAGTGAACGTAAAACGAATATGTTTGCGCATGTCTTCTATAAAATATATTTGAATTTATTAGGGCATCGAAAGCCAATAGGGAACAGTTATACGAACCGCGTAGTTATTTTGGAGAGTGGAGTTTTCGCAGACGACTGTGAAGAAGCTAGTTCTAAAGCCAGCACTCTGACGTGGTCGAAATATCTTGTAATTATGCTGAACTTGAACAATCTTTTTAAATTAAAAACCCAGTTCAACATATCGGTTAACATTTCACGAGGTGCTACGTCTACTGCACGTGCTATAAATGCATGATTTTATTCATATGAGTTTATTCCAACCAAAACGTTAGAGGAAGCGATTAGAAATCAATGACGAAATGTAACTTTGCAGAGTTCACCCAGGCGCTTTTAATAAACTCCTGGACTATTGCAATAACTGACGTGTAAACGTTTTTCAAAAACGAGTACGCTGCAATTGACATTTTAATGTACCCGTCATGTTTATTATCTAAATGGAAATTCCAGCAAAATCAAAAAGGTCCCCAAAGTAAAATACGAGGCAAAATCTTTCAAAATAAATGGGTTGTTTTGCAATGATGAGATGCATTTGTAGAGTAGATTAACGTGAAATATTTTTAAGGTAGATTTCGACTGTAAATACGCGACCGATATTAAGGTAGGTTACTTGTTATAACGTGAGAGTGGGCTCTTCATTTTGGCCTGGCTGCAGAATGACAGAACTGAATTCCATCCCGGCTTAGAGTTTTAAGCTAAGAAGTCATCGACGGCCACAAATCAAGAAACCAGCGAGCATTGCTTAGAGGTTTACAGACAGGGCAAACCCCACAGGGGCAGTGTCTCGGATTGGTGCACCCCTAGCGGAAGATGACACATTAGTCAGAAGGAGCTCGTCTTTATCGGCAAATCCCTTTACACGTATTGTCGCAATTCGGCCTTTTATTCAAAAAAGAAGCGTTCCTTAATGCAAAGGACAGGCGTAAACTGTTTTGGGCGACTATCTGACTCATAAAATTTGCGACTTTTAGGCACTTGAGTACCTGAAAAATACTGTTCATGGGTAGCAAATAAGTGATGTATGGAATCGAAAATACGATGTAAACGAGATCAGTAGGCAAAACCAAACAGTAGGGGCAAACCTTCAGAAGAACCAACACTCTAATCATTCAAGCTATGAGGCCACACGGGGAGCCGTGAGTTTAATTACATTTGGGTTAGATGAATGATTGAAGTGTGCCAAAATGGCCTATCGATATTCATTTTTGTTTGCTTAGGCGGTAACCAAAACCACCTACTTACTTTCAGCCAAAAGAAAAAGTCTTATTCAGTGTTTAGCTTTATGTGATGTCTGCTATTTCTAACAGGACGTTTTTAGGCAGTTCAAGAAGATTCAAAGGGCAATTTGGCGAGCATACGTCTGCTTTCGATAAATTCTCTTCAGGCCTGTACATTTATATGGCTATTGAAGTAATGAATTAAAAGATACAGGCAAGTAGATAATTAAGCTGTAGCTAGGGTTTGGAGAGGGAAGGGGAGGGGAGAGTGAAACACCACAATTCCAGTCAGCGGCAGGGAGAAGGTGGGTCCCGGCGAAGGTAATTACATACGAGTGGCTGGCTTGGCGGCTTTAGCCCATGGTAACTGTGGGACCTGTATGAAGTTCTTCTGTGCGCATGGGACCGGTCGGCGTAGCCTGATTGCAGCCGCCTCTGCCGTAGCCAACAAGCGCTGCCCAAGCAGTTTTGGATAGTTTGATGGGACCTTGTAGATCACTCTGAAGGCCTCCCTGGCGTCTACACGGTGGTCTGTGTCTACCATGTGCGCGAGGATCGAGCTGTTGATGTTCTTTATTTGTCCCTTTCGTAACCACGCTGGGTGATGTTCTTTCATTCTTTTGAATAAACGCCGGCTCGTGCGACCAATATATTCTGCCCCACAGGAGCAGGTGAACGAGTAAATACACATAGAGGTGGTCTGAACTGTTAGTTTGTCCTTGCCCTCTCCGTATAGGATGGGACTGGTGGTGAACAGTACACGGGTGTCAGCTGCTGGAAAGGTCTGTGATATAGCTTGGGTTAGGCGTCTTCTTAAAAGTTAACTTGGTGCATCCCCTTGAAATGGGACTCTGATAAAGAGCCTTTTCTTTCCTGCCGTCAGTATCGGGAGCTTTTGCGATCTTTCGGCCATGTTCTTAGCAAAGAATCGATCAGGATACCCGTTTTGGCGAAATAGACTTTCGATGATCTTAAGTTCGTTCTCAACGCTATCAGCTGAGCAGATTCTTCTCACTCTTTCTGTCAAACAGCGGACTAAATTACGTTTAACGTTTAGCGGTTCGAAACTCTCAAAATAGGCGTACTGTCCGTGCCACGTTTTCTTACGATGGACGCTACGTAGAATGCTGCCGTCAGGTCTTCCACTCAGAAGCGCACCCAGAAATGGAAGTAAACCGGACTGTTCTTCTTCCAGAGTGAATTTTATTGATGGGTGCGCCTGATTTATGTCATCCAGTAGAATTGAGATGTCGCTTAGTTTCGGTGCAATCACGAATATATCATCCACTTACCGCCCATAGTATCTTAAACCGTCCATCTGGTGACGTAGCTGGAAAGCTTTTAACTTTCCCATGAATATATTCGCCAAAAGCGGGCCAAAGGGCGAGCCCATTGCTACGCCGTCCATCTGCCTATATAGATTGTTGTCGAATAGGAACTGGACGTTCAAGGTACACCTCAATAACAATTCCTTGAGGGCATTCACTGGCATTCCTATATTCTGTTGATAGTCGGCAATGAAATCACAAAGGTAGTTGACCGTTTCCGTTACCGGTACGTTCGTAAAAAGGGACGAGACATCTAACGAAAACATGACCATTTCGTTCAGATCGAAGTCTTTCATGCCGTTAATGAATTCAAAAGTATCTCGATAGCTATGTGGCGTTAGTTGATACTACAGAGGCTTAAGTTTCTCCGCCAGCCATTTCGCTATTGCATGGTACGGCGAGTTCCTCATATCGAGGATTGGACAAACCGGTACGCCATCTTTGTGGATCTTCGGCAAACCATATAATCGAGGTATATGCGTACCGACGGGTCGGAGGGGCTCTACGTCGTGTTCACTTATGCAACCATCCGCCTGAAGTCTTTTCAAGCCGTCAGTCAGTTGTGCTTCAATCTCATCTGTACGGTCCTTCTCCTTCTTTGTCTTTCGAAACTTTTCCTGATCCGACAGAATTGACTGTATTTTCGTAATATAGTCTACCCTGTCCATCAAAACAACGCCGGTCTCCTTATCTGGCCTAGGTATGAGAACGTCTTTGTTCTGCCGGAGCTGCTTTAACTTCTCAATGTGTGACTTCGTCAGCAAGTCCCGATATGTCTGACGACTGTTCAGGTATTGATAAGAGCAATTGACTAACGTAGACTTAAGATGCTGTACGCGCTCTGTCGAAACTGGCTGAAGGTCATGCGTTTGCTTAAAGAAGAATCTCATTGACCTGAGAACTGAGCAGTAGGAAAGTTCCAAGTACATACATTCACGATATGTCTTGTATTAATCGCTTCCCCTGGTGCCTGACAGCTCTGTCCGTCAGTTATTCTGCTGCCCTTACCCCATCTTTATCATGTGGTTGCAACCGGGTGGTCAAGTTCGCTGGGAAGATTTAATTTACTTTCCGAGCTGGCGTGCATATGGCATAAATCTCTTTAAACAATGGAACGAGATAATAAAAACCACTCACCGACCCATAAAAAGCTTTGCTTTTAAAACGTTTATCATAATTGAGGTCGAAAATCGTGAAGGGCTGATAGAATTTTCGGAACATCCGGGTCAAGTTCAATATTCGGGGCTATGAACATAACCACTGCTTAATACATGCACGGGACATTTGGGCTTTTGGGTAAGAATCGTTCAGGTCGGAAATGCGCGTCACGCTCGGGAATGAGATGCTGGCCAAGAGGTGTACGCCCTCTTTACTGATGTTTCGAAGTGTGTAAAAATTTTCCATTTTTCAGATTTGTCTGGTGGGACTCTAGCTTTCAGATTTCATAATTGAAAAAAGAGAATGTGTTACCTCCAAAGCGTCTAAGTAATAGACTTTATTTTGTAGGACAACCTGCGTTTTCACTTGTACATGAAGCCTACAAAGCACGTATAGTACACATTTCTCAAAGACAGATTCACATATATTTTCGAGTTTGTAAGTCGAGTCAGGAGTGCCCGAAAATATATGCAGACTGCATCATACTGTGCATTGCATAAACAGCTCAAATGGACTTCAAGTTGCGAATAAGTTAATTTCTTATGATTGAAAACATTTCAAAGCATAATTCAGCTTATTTTATGTAAGAAAAGAAGATTTTAAAACTCTTCTAAAGATGTGCGTGAAGTTACAAAGACACTGAATTTTCGTGGAAAATCTATACTAACTAAACGGTGATTTTACTCCACTTCATTTCGAATAGACTTATGCAGAAATTATTCGACAACAGACAGCATTTCACCGTACATAAATTAAAGGGGATCACGCTTTCTGCCTGCAAGGCAACAGAGGGAACTCATTTGGTCAATGTCATACGCAAAAAGTCGGTTGACTGTTCAGATATTTAGTATGCCAATCAAGGGATTTGTTAGAATCAACATATACACTAATTGCCCAGACGCACCTGGAACGACATCCACATTCTAGGTGTTCCGTAAGTGCCACCAGTTCTGTCGAAACTTTACCCGTTGTTGTATTCTTAAAAGAAGAAAAAGAGCCCGAGATGAATAACTACAGGACGGTGAAGAAAACCAATATCGACAAATGATAGTAGTATACAATTAAATCAGCAAAAAGGGCATGCGCGCAAAAGGTGACGTCATTGTTCGTATTTTTCCCTCGAAAAGGTGGAGAGACTTTCGGTTTAATTTGGCAGTCGTACGGAGGGGTCTTTTATCTGGTCAATAACATCTTGAAAAATACTTTCGAAGGACTCCTTGGAAAACGCATTAGCTTGAACTTCGCCAGAGCTACACCTACGGCACTTTTTACCTTAGGCAGCGTGTCATTTTGAGTAACGGCAGATTCTTTGCTAGGAACTGGTTTCCTGAGCAGGCATTCGCTGTCTTCCTGGGGAGAAATTAGTATTTTACCAGCAGGACAACAAATATATTCAAAAATGTGACTAAACAAAAAATAATCTGTCGTAAACCCTCAGTTTAGTAGGCACCAGTCCGGGTTTTTGACTGAGAAACATTTCGCAGCAGCAAGATCTAAATTAGAAGCTTCATCGCTATTTGTGCATGAAGGAGTGCCGACAGATATATGTGAGACTGAAATGGTCATTTTTGGTTCTATCAACCGCAGTCAGCCAGCTTTGGCCAACTCCAGGTTTGGATGAGTCTGGAAGTCAAACCCGAATTCCTTGGCCAGTAGGCGTTAAGTCTAATGATGACAGTTCGACCGTCGGTTTCAATGATGCCCACCGTTTGCTCTACAACAGGGTGAGATCAGGGACGGTGACTTGCGCGGTATCTACCACACTCTCTACTCCTTCCCCACCTGGGCCCTGTGTTATGCCAGAGTCTAGAAGACGGGAGATGTGAGAGGAGCAGCTGCCTGGCACGGCGAACCCCGCATCTAGGCGTACCACCACGCCCCCTGTTCAAAAACATGCACGTGACCAGGATTTTCAACAACAATAATAAATATATAGGGGAGCGGCGGGAATCCAAATTGGCACGACGTGAGACTGCAAATGGGCCTGACACCATATCCCAAGTGTTGGCATCTGTTTTGGGTGTGCATTCTCGAGAACACGTCCAACACGTCTACCGCGTGGTCTATTCTGAGAGGGGGCGGGAAGTCCAATGGTAGAGAGCATGAGACGCGATAAAAGATTATTTTCGGAAGAATATGGGCTCTAATGTGTTATCACGATGACTCTGACTACAAAGCACGCACTATGTGTATGCGTAGTCGATAAATCTATCCTATTCTACAGCCATGCGTTGCCTTAGGCAACATCGGTACTTCGGCCCTTCACGTTCTGCTGCTGTGACCTTTTATTTGGCAATGAGAACCTTAATGGTAACAGCTGGTTTCACATGTTTCTTAAAAGTCTTTGGACCACTTGGTCAGTTAAATACGGACGAATACCACCATTATTGCCTAAAGTATGTTCAATATTTTGATTGAAAACCATGTCACAAAATGGGACTTAGGGTAGACGGTTGAGCGGTATAGCTCTCATTCCCCTGCTCGGAAAGCCGTCCTTCTTTGATGCTCTTTCCCATGGCCGTTATGGCGGTCGCGCAAATATAGGTCAAGCACCACGATATTCCCAAAACAATGTCATAACTGATCTGCCCTCGAGAACAGGGAGAAAGTGAATCATTACTGGAGCCAAAGTGACTGCTTAAAATGTGTAAATTCCAGGTTAAGCCCTTAGGACTTTGCCGGCTGTGAGTTTTTTCGCCCAAACCAATTGAAATTCACATACAATTTTTTAATGCTATAACTGCGGAACCTGTTGCTGGACAGGTGAAACAGGGTAAATGCACTTACGACGAGAGCTACTGAATGCATTTTGAGGGCGACCTTCGTGGGTAAACACTCCTCGCCCGGGGTAGGGCAACTGCAGGAACCGACGTTCTCGTAGCCGTATGCTTCCGTTTCCGCATAACCACTCTCTGGTGTTATGCAGGAGGGGCAGGATGGCGAGGGCCGCCGATTTTGTTCGGTCGAGAATGAATAGGCGTTGACGCTGGGATAGTAGAGGACCCGCTGCGTGTAGGACAAGCGCGCGGAATGGGTAGGATTATTGCAGCGTTTTACGTAAACTCCCGGAGGCAGAAAGAGTGTGGCCTTTTCCCTTTCCATGCCCAGGAGAGATTGCGTACAGAGGGTTCGGTTCTGCGGCGAGCAAGCATGTTTCACAAATTCCCGGTACTCAAAGTAGGCATTTCGCAGTTCAGAATCGGAATCTGTATCAACAGAGAATAAGCAATAATTCTAACTCCTATGTGTGCCAAGCTCACATGCGTCCCTTTCGTTTTTTTACTCTTCAGTATCATAAAGAAGAAGACGCTGGTATCAGTGAGGTAAAAGCGGAAAGCTTAATTCAGATTTCTGTCGCCGGTTGAGGAATTTTATCCATTATCCACTAAAATTCGAAAGTTCGCTGTGCGTGCATCGAGACTGAGCGTAACAGTGAGACGGGCAAATGCTTTGCAATCTGCCCTGATAAAACAGGCCTGAGCAAGGGGCACGAGAATATGAACTCCTCGTTTTACAAATGAGCTTGCGCCAAATTCCAGGGAAGATTTGGGTAATGAGGGTTAGGGATAGAGCTGGGACGCCGGAATAGGTGTCCCTGAAATTGAACTCACGATCACCAGTGGCACGAGGAATCCATATTCTCGTGTCCAATTGTGGCCTGTTTGTCCGTTTGTCCGAAAATGCGGACTAAACTAGGCATTTGAAGCATAACTAGGCATCAACGGAGCATCAATGAAGAGAGGCAGGACTGAAAAAGTAATCTATTAAGATTGACTCAGTTCCCTTTCGCCCAGTAATATGCCCTAGCAACAGAAACCACCAGACCAGACACTGGAAAATGTATATACAATAGGTGGGCTAACTCACGGAATGTCAACCAAAATTCCGAAATGCATTTTCGTTTCGAAAAGATTAATTAAGAAGAGTTGTCAAACTTATCATCTTGCAGCATAGTTCTATAATACGTCAGTTACTTCAGGAGGCCGGCTTTCAAACAAACTTCTTTCCGGCTGCATACAAAAACAGTATTCTGTATAAAACGACTACTAAATTAACATGCATGATTGATTTTCGATGCCCTTAAAAATTCGATTATATTTCATTGAAAACGTGCATAAAAATATTCGTCATCTTGCTCATTCGGTAGAAAATGACGTCCTCCTCTAGTTTCATACTCAAGTCAAGGGAATAATTCGGTTTTAAAAGAGTTTTTCATTGTGAGATTTTTAATGCCGTGAAATAGTCTTTCATGAAACGTCATGTCTCTGAATTTACCAATGTGGCTTGTAAAGTAAACAATATGGCTCAAATCCACTGCTGGATTCCATGAATGCCAGATATTATTTTCTTAATACCGTAGACAAATGTATGGTCTTCCGACGCATAAAATATACGGCTTGTAGTTTGGAAACCTTGAGTGCAAGTGTAACGGCAGGACGGGTTAAATTATTCGGGAATTGGGAAGGTTTTTGAAAACTTAATTATACCATTCCCTCGAGTACAAAACTGGAAGAAGACGTAATCTTCCATCAAATGAGCAAAAGACTGAATACTCTTATGCATGTTTTTATGAAATATAATAGAATTTTTAAGGGCATCAAAAATCAATGAGAAACAAGCATGTTAATTTAGCAGTCGTTTTATACAGAATACAGTTTTTGCATGCAGCCGGAAAGAAGTTTTTTGAAAGTCGGCATCCTGAGATAACTGACGTATTATAGAATTATGCTGCAAGATGATTAGTTTTACAACCCTACTTAATTAATCTTTTCGAAACGAAAACGGATTTCGGAATTTTGCTTGACATTTTATGAGTTAGCCCACCTTGTACGTCGTCCACAAGTGAGGTCAGCATTACAATTATAACGAGACACAGTTGTCGTTATTTCCGTAAGCTTAGCACACGGAAGAAGGCACAAATAGGCCTGAAAATCCGCCGTGTATCTTTTATGACCAATATCTTATGAGTGTTTGCTTTTTAAAAATAGTGTATTGAGTAGAACAGGGATGTTACAATAGGAGTTCATCGACTGTCAACTGTAACGAGGCAGGCATATCCTAATCTCAAGCTGTGAGGACCTGGGGGTCGAAGAAAATGTAGTCGCTCGGGCGTGCTCAATTAGTGACTTAAGCCCGTTCTGTCGTCTATAGACAAGCATCCATCAACTTCGAAAATTCAATGTATTCAACACAAAGTGGCCTTGTAAAATGCTTTGTTTACTAATATGACTTATATCATCTTTGGCAAAAGGAAAGTCAATGAACCGCTAAAGCACCCATCTTGCTCTTCACCTTGTAAGACCTCGAGGCAGAGCCAAGTACGCCGCAGGCCATTTTCAAGTGCAGTTTATTTTTGAACGTCCTCCTGTGAGTAAACCGTATTGGTCGAGAGGGTGGGCGCTCATACGAAGGGGTGAAAGAACATTTGGTGGCACAATTAGGGCAGGGTAAACCAACAGTGACAAGCAACTCTATCTCTGCGAATCTTGCAGCTACTGGAAACGTTGAAGAACCGTTCCAGGGAGCTATTGGTAATCACTAAGGCGTTGCCACCTGGCAATGACGGAAAGGGAGCGATTAGGTCGTCGAAGCCGGTCTTGTGTGTATAAAAGACTTTCTTCCAGGTTCTATGGGAACCCCGAACTAGCGCCAACTAAATGGACGTTAACACGTAGATAATGGGGATTAGGTGCTAAAAGTCGATCCAGAAGCGTCATGCCTTCTCTTTTCTTTCTAGCAAAGTTCAGGAGCCAGATAGCGTGGCTTTATTTTACATGAATCTCAGGAGCCTGATTGACGTCGCTATCTCATTCAATTATCCATCTAGACGAATATGTAGTTAGCTACCTTATTATTTAACCGAATACCTCATTCGTCTAGCGCAGATAAAGAGCCTATCGATTGAGGCACAATCGCGTGCACACTTGAATACAACAGTAAACGAATACTGTGGCGATGACAATGTGTTTAACGTCCATTTGTGGTAGATACTGTAGTCCGGGCAATTCAGCAAAAAAGGCATGAAAATATTTTTGTAGGCGTTTGCACACCCAGTTCAGCGACAGAGCTGACCACATCCAGAAGACTGACATTCCATAGGAGTTTCAAAGCGTACATCTCGTGCTACTCCAAAAAATTGATAATAAGATAATGACGGATATATTTAAACGTCTGTTATAATATCGAACCTCTCCCGCCTCGCGACACGTTAACTGAATCATCCGCGACTAAACGCCAGTACATATTGCAAGAGCTTTTTAATTTTGCAAGGCTATGAAATTAAAGATGGTGGGAGAAATACCTTTGGTCCGAATTTAAGAATCATGTCTACAGAAAGCAGAAAAATTTAAACGGAAAATGAACAGTTGCCAGATGTAGGTGGCAGTGTAGACAGCGCAAAGTAGAATTAATTTTGGGCTGTTAATAAAGCAATTTCAACACATGGGAACAATTTTTCTCTCGAGAATTTAAGCTTTAATCCTGTAGCATCATTCAGAAGTGGTGACCAGTAAAACCTCGACCTCACTCATAATTCAGGGAACACTATGTGGTGGCATGTATTTAAGGCAAACTAACTAGGACAAATATGGGCATTTTTCATTAAGTTAATGCTAAATAAAGAGTCATCTTTCATAGGACACGAGATTTGAAAAGGCCAATTTTGCAGAATAAACTTTCTAACACTTGTCAGTCTCAGTTTTAAACTTTCTCGGAGGTTACTGCGCTAAAATGGAACAAATCCTTCGCGATCAAGCTTTACGGGCTCAGTCTGAAAGTTTATATAAATACTTGGGCCGACATACATCATCATTAGTGATATAACCGCGTAATATTCATGGCTTTGTTCAGCCATAAACTTACGCAGATAAGCCTATGAGTTTAAGAGAGTGGGTATTGTGCGTCGGTAAACAACATCGGATGACGAACAGCAAAATGAACTGTTGTGAACAACAGACTAACTTCGCCTACTTAATGTCCCATCATCATCATCATCATCATCATCATCATCATCATCATCATCATCATCATCATCATCATCATCATCATCATCATCATCATCATCATCATCATCATCATCATCATCATCATCATCATCATCATCATCATCATCATCATCATCATCATCATCATCATCATCGTCATCATCATCATCATCGTCATCATCATCATCATAATCATCAATCTTTTTCTCGTTTCCACTAGCCTAATAACCGGAACTGGTCAACTCTACTCCTTCACCTGAAAGTAGTATCCTAAACAACTTTTATAAGCAGAAGGTTTGCTTCACTAGGAATGATAATTTTTAAGGCGACTAATTGTGCTTAATGTAGACTGCATTTCAAACCACTTATAAATAAATCCGAGAGAGAGTCATTAAGGAATTTGAATCAAATTCCGGATCAAGAACAACACTGAAATTATAATAGTTAATGTTAGTTTTCTAACGGGCTAGTTTTCGGAGCGTCAGTATCTTCTTTGTGGAGGTATAGAAAATAATTACTCCACTATTACTTGGAATATGCAATCTGCTCACTTGCAATCCAAATGAAACTTACGAGATTGTGTTTCCGTCGTCTGCACCTCCTCATAGTTTTTATAGTCCTCGATCTGATCTGGATCGTCATCTGGCGACAATTCCTGCCAGTTCTCCTCAGCCCCCACAGCCAACACACCCTCTTCATCGGTACTTCCTGGCGCCGTCTGGTCCGTAAGTTCGGCACTCCGTCTGCGTTTTCGGCCGGTCATACTTAAAACCGCTCTCGACCGTGTACTACTGCTACTAGTAGCCACAAGCGGCGAATGAGCATTGACCAGTCTGGTTTTCAGCACAGCGCCACCCTGAGGCAGATGAATGATAGGGCGCCTAGGCAGACCCTCTCGTATGTGTCCCCGGCTCTGACTGCGGTTTTTTGAGTTGTCTAAGCCATCCTTGTCAACCCTAGTCGCTGGGTCGGTGCTCCCTTCCTGTGGGGGTCGCGGGCCACCCAGAAGGCGCTGTTTGAACTCCTCAAAGCTTGTCACCCTCTGCACGGCAATGGCCTCGCTCTTGAGCAGCACTTTATTTAAGATATCCTGTGGGTCGGCTCCGCTCCCAGCACCGCCTTCTGCTGGCTGGAGGCGCCTGTCTTGGGCCAGTCTGGTCTGTCTGAGCCGTTCCATGCGTCGGCTGTGTCTCAGGCTCTGACGAAAGAGATGCCATTGGTTGACGATAAATTGTATCTATTTTTTGGAAAGAACAAACGAATAGTATTATAAGGTATAATTAGGCGCTTTGGGTTAACTTACGCCATCGATGATATTAGGGGTAGTAGTGAATAAAGTCGAGTTGATTCGTGAGTAAGGCAGAGAGAAATGACTATGTCAAAGGCGAGAGGGAAACCAAGACTCTTTTGAATTACTGCGGACGGGTCTCGAGGGTTAAGCATGGACGCATAGTTGTTTGCAAGTAACTCGTGATGATAATTTACAACGAGTGATGCTATGGTGTTGGTACCTAAAAATATACTTATCCAGTTGTCATTGGCTTGTTGTAACCCCCTCAGAGGAACGGCGAACATGGTTGTATTGACTGCCAGGAAGCAAACAGTAAAACCAGTATCATAACAGATCATTTCCAAGCTGCTAAAGAGTATTCTCACTGCATACACAGGCAGTATAATCGTCAAACGAAAGGACGCAATTCCCATCTCGCTTGACTTGTTGGAAGTGTGGTTGAATGCATAGATGTTTGTACATAAAGGGAGCCAAAGTTTTTAAGAGTCACATTCCGAAGCATGGTGAAAGCTCGAGTAGAAAACATAGTTAGAACCGATGGAGTGATAGTACCGAAAAAGATAAGGGAGACTGGAATGGCCATTTCTGGCTTATTAGCCGTCGTCAGTCAGTCATACCCAACTGCGAATTGCGGAACATCTGGGGCTCGATTTCGCGACCTGTTAGGTAGACGTCCAAAGCCTCCAACCACTGAGCCACGGGCGCGTTGTCTTGTCGGTTGCGCTCGGGAACATACCATGGTAGAGGGTGCTTAACGGCGGTTTCTACGAAACTCACTCGTTCCGTTGCGCCTTGTGGACTCTCTCTCATGCCCAACCAGCAGCTGCACACTTGCGCATAATGTAGGCAGAATGCAATTACCGAGAGAGAGAGAGAGAGTCCGTAAAACACAACGGGACGAGTGATTTCTGTAGAAACTGTCGGTGAGCACCCCTATGCCATTGTACATTCCCGATCGATGCCGACAGGACAGCGAGTCCGTGGCTCAGTGGTTAGAGGCGTTGGCCGTCTAACTAGCATGTTATGGTATGAAGCCCCAGGTGTTCTACACTTCGTAGTTGGGTATGACTGGCTGACGACGACTAATAAGTCAGAGATGACCATTCCAGTCTCCCTTGTCTTTGTCGGTAATACCATTCTGCATCTATCATGCAGCGCTGTGCGCCTGCTGGTTGGACAAGAGAGTCCGCAAGGCACAACGGGACGAGTGATATCTGTACAAACGGTCGGTAGGCGTCCATCTTCCATAGTTGGAACACTGTGCCCTATCATATGCTCTGTGTCTGACTTACTTCGCTTTAATTTCCTTCGCTCTATTCAGTTAGCCTGAGGCCCTGCTGGCCAACTTTAGTAAGCCATTGGATGTGCCCGCTCTGAGCTGTAACAGCAGTCTTCTTCTCGTTCGCATCTTGCACGATTTGTTCACTTACTGCTCAAGTTCAATAAATACAATAGTGAAGTTCGCAAAATGCCTTGCCGGAGCTCAAAAGCCCCAACGATATACGGATCAAAACATTTTTTTCTTTTTTGAAGTTTTGCCATTAAGCCTCGTTACGTGAATAAGGTACTGAAGTCTGGATGTTTGCGCGTTACTTTAATTAACCCAAAACTCTGCAAAATGCGATACCTTACTTGAGACTACAAAAATCATTTTATACCTCCCTTATTATTTTTAAGTCATGATGCCTATCAAGTCGGACAAATATGTGGTTTTAAATTAATGTTTAACACATTTCTGAATGGAAAAGGACAAGACATAACATTTTTTCGGCCACTGCACGCCGTGTCTGACTCAGATAAAACGGAGCTGCTGGAATATTTTCTCGAGTTCGGAGATTGCTTAGAGACCATAGAAAACAGAAGATGATGGGAAGGCGATTCCTGGGGCCTGTTGTTTGTTTGCCCGACTTTTTCTACCAATCGCATTACAACATGTTTCCTGCTGTTTGTTTTTATTAGGAAGCCCACCAGCTCGCGATTCTAATGTACTTTTCTAGTTTCCGCTATATCTTGTATTCGCGAAAAAATTCTGATTACACAGCGACGTTCTATTTGCCTACTGCAAGACAATTCCAGATGAAAAATACAGTCGAATTAACCCTACTACTAATCGGTCGGTGACTTTTGGTCCCGCTTCAAGATTTTATTCAATTCTACGTAGCAGTGTAATGTAGATCTCTGAATAAGGTAGATCTGCGAAAGACGAAGCTTCGCCTTAGGCAACAGTCTGGTCTCGCTTTCTCTAAATTTGCATTAATTAGGCTATCCGTTTTCGAAGGAAGCATGCACAGCTTATGAACAATACGGGCTAGCCAACCGGGTGTCAAGGTCTCAAAGAGAAAAAAGGTATTCGCGCCTGCACGCTGAGTGAGGGCAACATTTTTCACCAAGCATTGGGAGTCACATACTAATATTAATCTATTCTCCTTTTGCGAAGTCCGAAATTTGTTCTGATTCCCCAGTGTATTTTGGACCAGGTTTGCTTTTATAGGGGATAGAAACTGACATCGACTCAGATTAATTCAACACACACAGTTGACTCTAGTGTTTAATCGTGTCTCTACTTATAGACAGCAAAATTTTAGAAAAGAGCCTTTGAACGAACCGCGACAATGAATTCCTTAATCTATTTTTTTAATTGGAGCAGAGACTCGACTGTTCTTTACTCGCTGGATTTTGTGCCCACAGGGCAGTAACCCGAGCACTTTGATGAAGCAATTCTTCACCCAGTGCTTGCTCCTGGTCTTTGGCCATGCAACTTAAACCTTAACTAGGCGAGCATTATATATAAACCCACTGAGGAAATAGAATATAGGGTCACTCGTAATACGGGAAGGATGTTAATAATAATTTTATCAGTAAGGCCGATGGACGTGACAATCAGTAAAACCTGCGGAAAGCATGAAGGAAACTCGCGTTCCATAGGGAGGTGACGGAACGGACAGTGTAATTCGAAAGGTGGGAATAAGAGTACGTAAACGGGGAAAAACAGGCGTACCGAGGTTATTGATTAAATAAAGTCGAATTGGGTAAGAGTCTGCGATAGATAAGCTTAACTCTAACCCCAGTCTTGACCCATACTCTTTTTCCTACCCCAATTTCAACCTTCAATTTGATCACTTTCTTGTGCCTAACTAGAAACGGAACCCTAATATAACGCGTCTATTATGATCAAATAAGGGACATGTTATCGCAGTAAAAACATGGGCTTACATATCTGGTCGTTCGCCATAACTCCCCAAAGGCATTTACATAATAAGAGGAAACTAAATAACTTCGTGAAAGAAGTGACCTTTTAAATGATGATCAATGTTGCCCTCTATGAAACCGATGTAACCAGTCACGCAGTATTTACGTATATCACTACGCGAAATTAGTCCTCGCAGGATGGAGATTCTAGATGCAATGGTTCCTGCGTAATGGGGCATCTATGACATTCTCACCAGTTGGGATCCTGACCGACCCTTGTTTCTGTTAAAAACGCTGCACAATTTGCGAGGGCAAGCCCGTGTGTGGCACGCGTAGCCGGGCCATCCAACTTTTTCAGTCACCACGCCCGATCCTGCCTCCGGTTCTCTTGACTGTGTCTTGCCACTGGAACCATGTGGGCGAGAGAGGGGAGGGTGTGGTATATGCTGTGAAAGTTGAATATCACTATGCACTAATTCATGCCCAACTCACCGTCCCCAATCCCAGCATGCTGCGAGGCCTACCGTGGACATCACCGTTCGCGATAATTGGGCTGTCGTTGCGTCTAGCCGGACTGTCTGTCAGTTTAGCCCTACTATTCCTTCTCTGCCATTGCTCGCGTGTCGTTGTGCGAATACCTACGAGGAATCTTGATTACATCTTAGAGGCAAAGCAGAACCAGATTTACGTTTGGTGAAGAAGTACCACAGGCTCAGTTAGGTGGTCACTATTAAGGTTATCATGCAAAGGAAAATCACTTGGTATTCAATAAGGGGAAAAACAAGACATGACGAACCTCAATGTTTGAAATGTCCCTCCTTAAGATTGGCCGCACGTAGTCGATAAACATGCGAATCTGGCGAGGAGGAGGTAGTTGAAAGGAAGTGATATCTACATGATGGGGCCATCTGGAGTCTCTTGAATGGTTTCCGCTATGGATATCATTGAGGAGGACAGGAGTTTGGCTGAGTGAATCTGATGGTAAGGGACTAAAACGTTTGTAACCAGAGTCGGCTGAATTCAGGGTCCTGGAAGTAGGATTTTGAATGGAATGGCGTGGTTCTTTGTTGCCCATGGCAGGGAAAAAAACCTGTAACTTGGAGTCTGGCCGAATGCTTCGCTCACTCTGAAATTGAGAAGCATGGGCGTCTTTGCTGGGGTCTGTATTCTAAAAGGCGAAGTTAAAATTTTACAAAAAATATTTCAGCTGTCGTTAGTTACTTCATGTTGTACACACAGTTTGTACAGAGACAGTGATTCAAGTACGGACCTTAGTGGGATATTTCTTTTTCAATGACATTCGTAGATGTGCGAATCTGAGACAGAAACACTAGGGACAAATCTGATGCACAGTTTGCGTCGAAATTTAAAAAGCATTTATGAACATGCCTTTACCTAAGTGAACTTTCAGTGTTTAACGACGTGGTACCTAAGCGTAGGGTAACACTTACACAAAAGCCTGCTGGCTCTTGGTTGATCAGCACACTTCTACTCACCCGTGTAAGTCAATTTCCGATAAAAAATTAACTACATGCGCATTGGATGCCCTTTCATCCATCTGTTTTGAGGTTTTGGTATTCTAGACACATCGCATAAATACGCTGAACGCACAATGCGTGACCGATCTCAAGAAATGTTAGCCAAACGTCTGAAATGCGTTTTCAACTAGGAAGGGTTAAAAAGGTTGCGTTGTAATATTAATTATCATGTAGCATAATCCTATGGTATTTCAGACTCGCCAGGATGTCGGCTTTTGAATGCATTTCTTGATTTGCTAGAAAATTACACGGCCTTCACATGTTATATCCGCAAAAAGAATATATTTAGATTTTAAAAGTTTCCCCATTCCCGAATAATTTTGAATTCGATCAGCCGTTGCATTAGCGTTTAGCGACTGCATTCCACAAGCTGCATGCGTACATTTCTCTATGTCTTTAAAACGATACTATAAAGAGTTCGTAAAAATCTGCAATGAATATGGGATATGCTTTACATTTCACGAGGAGCATTGGTAAACGTACACGTGCGGTGCTGCATATGTGGACATTGCACGGTCTTTAAAACCTCGTAATAAGGGACTTTTTAAAATCAAAAGATAACCTCCCTTGGGGTATAAAATATAAAGACAATGTGGTTTTCTAACAACCAAGCGAAAGAAAGCATATTTTGTGCATGTTTTCTATAAAAAATATTAAAATCTATAAGGGAATCGAAAATCAATGTAAAAAATGCATGCTACTTCAGTCGTCATTTTGTACCAAGTGCGATTTCTGTTGGAGATCAGAAAGAAGTGCATTCAAAAGCTGGCATCTTGGCGAATCTGAAATATCATAGGATTATGCTACAAGATAACTAGTATTGCGACGCCACCCTTTTCATTCTTCAAAGTTGAAAACTCATTTCAGAATTTCGGCTAACATTTTACGAGATCGGTCACGCAATGTACATGCCACTTCTTTTTATGCTTTTCCAAGGTAGTTATTCTTCTCTACACTTTGTACTTCAGGGAAAGTTGGCTTGGGTTTTCGAAGGTTCACTTATTACTGCAGACTTTCGAGCAAAATCATCGCTGGCATAGTTTGGTCCCACATGGGACTTTTATATAGCCAAACTACGCGCTATGGACTATTCCCTTACTAGCGCTCATAAAAAACTGGCCTGGACAGAGACCGCTTTGTGCACTATAAAGGCAGCAGTAATAATCCTGCGCGTATTCGACCACGCGAACAACCACGCAAGCATCTTTAAGTCTCACAATCACTAACGCTTTTTGGATTTAACGGTGAGTATAAAATTCAAAGGCAGACGGGATTTCTCTTGAGGTGGACCTAAAAATAATTTTTTCTGGGTCACTTTTAGTTGATGTGGTTGAATTGATGCAAACTAAGAAAACCGGTTGCAAATAGCGTACTGTTTGATCAGCAATTGTTTTTATGCTGCTAGAACAAGGCCTAGCCAAATATCGGTTGCATGCAATGGAAAGATTAACCTGTGGTAATTTTACGTTAATCAGGTCAAAAGGTGTCAATTTGGTGTCGGGAGCACAAGTTTTAAATGAAGTTGATCGTTTAATTAAAGAGGAATGAAATCTTGAGTACGAGAGTCACGACTGTCACCTGACAAACCAGTTTGCATAAATTGTCATTGTTTCGAAGAAATTTTTTGTAATTGGAAAACAAATACTCCCTTGTTAATCGAGGCTTTTCGTCTTTCTTCGAACGAAAGACTTCTGCAGTATCAATGACGGGATAACTCAAAAGTTCGATCATTGTAAAATGAAGTATGCTTGGGGGTGACAGTCCGTTGTCCTTGCCAACTCTTTAAGGGTTTGCAGCAGTTTCATAGAGTTACAAACGACTATTTGCAGTTTAGTGCACTGCCACTGACTTTTTCCAACGTGTGGAAATATTAAATGTTACTAAAAGAAAGCTAGTAGCGCGTTGATGCCACACATAATGCCTTTGTCCAGCGAAAGGTGATGAGTCATGCTTGTTCGCGTGCTTGGAAGTCGGACTACCCGTGATTCCGTGACTGTCAGGATACCCCCTTGGTGCAGCAATCTTAATGGACTCAACCACAGCGGCAGAGATGGCGTGCTCACTTTGAGATTATTAATTTGACGTCTGCTCCTTCAATTTCGGCTCACATTATTAAAGACTCGAACTCAGTTTGACTAGAAGATTTACTGTAATTAACGCACAATCGGTCACCTCATCAACAAGAAAGTTTAAATACCACTCCTTCTACGTTGGCTGTAAATTAATGGAAACAAGTTTAAGCCAAACAGTTGCTATGAGTATTCAAGGCGTATTGGGACTCACCGCATATTCCCGATCGAAACCGACAAGGCAAAGGACTCGTGGCTCAGTGGTTAGAGGCGTGGACTTCTAATGAACAGGTCGCGAGTTCGAGCCCCAGGTGTCCCACACTTCGGGGTTGAGTATGACTGGCTGACGACGACTAATAAGCCAGAAATGGCCATTCCAGTCTCCCTTGTCTTTGTCGGTAATACCATTCTGCCTATATCATGCGCTGCTGTGCGCCTGCTAGTTGGGCTCGAGAGAGAGCCCGTAAGGCACAATGGAACGAGTGAGTTCCGTAAGAACGATCGGTGAGCGCCCCCTACCACTGGACTCATGTTGTTGGAATATCCCTGAACTTTTCGAGAAACTTTGCGTGTTTCTTTAACCATACACCTACACATGGAGTCATAAAAAAGTCTCTGCAAACTTTGTATAACGTATTTACATTCATGCTGACGGACGTGCACTGTCCTTCGTCCTGCACCAATTAACGCATCTGAGGCATACGTTGTGTCATTCAAGTCATCTCGCACGAGGCTACTGACGACCCCTAGAACATTGAGGATATTTCGAGGAACTCAATGTTGGAAGTGTTGTTATGAAAAACGTACAAACCCCTTGGCTTGGACAGGCGAGTAGTGGGTCAAATTATCCGTCCTAAAGGCGGTGAGTCCCCGCGCTTTTGTTGTTAGGTCCAGAAGTACTTTTAGACCGCACCGGGCATTCTAGACAGACAAATGTAACAGGTTTTCAACCATTCATGCACGTAAATGCCACAGAATAACTTATACTATATCATATCCTGTTTGTTCACTTATCAGAGATACGGTGGACGAATTTATTAGAACTTTTGTATTACGCCTGATTTAACAAGGTTTGATTTCGTAAAATCTCCAAATTTTGATGTGTTCTTTCCTCAAACAGCGCAAGTAAATTATCTTGGCGTCAAAAGTGCATTGCCGCTAAAAATAGGGTCGACTGCGTATCGGTGGGGGGTATGCGAGGAAGCGTGGACGATAATTCTCCAAAAATAGTAAGGACCATCTTGCTTGGCTGAAATGTTACAGTGGTGTTGTGGAAACAGAAAAAATTGTGAAATTCCCAAAATGGGGTGACAGCAAGAGGAACGTCGGCAAACCGCTATTATGTCTCGACGATGATTTAGAAGGTTAGCGGTTTGCACGTTTTAGAATTTGAGATACCCAAGTGCAAATTGTTAAGAACTGCAATAACCGTGATTAGAGGCAGAAAACATGATCATAATGAGTACTGCGTATGCAAAAAAGTCATATGTGTAGAAAGTATGCCATTTGTACGTTAAACGTAATAAAATACAGGAAGTCGTTTGATGATAATCCTAAAACAAACGTTTGTTTTTACCAAATAGGTCTGTCAAGATAGTCATATAAAAACAGAAGTAGGGAATCGCGGCCCCAATAAGGCGTGTTGATAAAACCGGCTAACGACCACTCGGCTTAATTTTTCGATGTTAATCTTCTAATGGAACTCCATTGATGCGTTTTCGCTGCCTATCTTGTAGGAAATACAAATGTTGATGTCTGGCGAGATGAAAGTATGGCACCTACTTAGACTTCGTTCTCAACAGTCTAACTGGAAAACGGGCCTGCAGTAGGTTGCTGCCCGAGTCTTAAATTTAATGTCAGTCATCCGCCTGTCTGTGCGGAACTAAAGAGAAGCCAAATTCCTCGCTGTCTAAGGATCGACCTGGTGGGTATCGGGCATTCACAAAGTTCTGCACCAGTTATAGAGTTCAGTAACTTGCATACATTCTGATAATAGTTAAGTTATTTAGCAAAAATTATATGAAAGTCCAAACGCTTTTATTACTTTTTAAGATTTAATGTGCAAAAAATTTCATCATATCATAAGTACATTTCCACTTTTCATTTGGGAATTCCTTAAGTGACAGATTAGGGGGAGAAAATCAACTGCATCATTTGACTTACCGTGTTCAAATTAACAGTGGCCCTGAAGGGACAATTTACTATCATTCATAAACTGGTTGATATTTGCAGAAATCTACAAAGCATGCAGATAAAAAATTCCAAAAACTAAGTTGGCTGGCTGCAAACATCAACCATTTAATAGGCGATGACTGCAGTCACAGGAACCTTTGCGAAGTAGTCGCAAAATCGCTTTGCCGCTCGATTTAATGAGGCCAAGGTTTATGAAACACCAGTAATCACAACAATCATAGGTTCCTCCTTCAAATCAGTTTTTAAATTGAATAGGAATCTGGAAGAACGTTCTCGCACTCTGTTCTACCCCTAGAGGCTTTTAATTTGTAGTGCTGTATTCGGAAAAACTATCCAGAACCTTTCAGCGAAAGCGTTTAGACTAAAGTCTGGTTAAGAATTACAGATGGAAAAAAACGCACAAATAAAAAATAAATAGTGTTTTTACTTTTGACGCAGAATGTCTAAATTTTTTGCAATACTTAAAATATCAAATATTTGCTTAATTTCTAACATTTGTTTTTCATCGGAGCGTTTTTCCTGTTGGTCAGAATTTTGCATCGGGGGAATAATCCACTTCGTTCTGCGTCACCCCATCGAAATTTTTCACTCTAACTGAAAATTTGACCCAGAGGTCGGTAAAGATTAGTGCTGTTCGAGTGAGAGGAAATCAGGTTCTGATTTTTAATAAATTTCCTCCCATTTGATGTTCATATTTATCATTAATTACGCAAGCGTGTTGGAGTTTTGGTAAATTTAATTAGTTAACGGAATATCCAGAAGCAAAAGACTCAGCGGCTTTGGTGGAACTTAAAACTACGAAAGAACGTCAAAGACTTTAGTTCTGCCAGCGCTCCAACGACCTGAGCTATGGGATCGCCGGATGAAGAACTTCAGCGTTTTTTACATTTTGATCAAGTTACCCATCCAAAGTACCGTAGTGCAATAGACCAACAAACCCCAATAGAGCAGACTGACTACCTAAACGTATTTCCTGAGAATGCACTAGAAGACTGCCAGGTCCACTTTGTAGTAAATGTTTTTGACAATTTGAATGAATACCAAAAAATGGAAAACACAAAGCAACCGATGGGAGATTCGTACCTCAGGTGTTAAGAACTTTGGCTGTACTCGACCTCTGTCCTTTATAAGCTGGGTTCAAACTTCACGTGGGCCGCCAAAGTTCTTCAATTTGGATATTCATTTAAATAAGTAAACCTTTCAAAAAGGAAAAACACCCGACTTTTTTCCACTGCATGAGAAAAACATGTTGTCAGACACCATCGTGCCGAGTCATTGTAGCTAAAAGTTATGACATTGTTAACCTACCAAAGCGAATTTCAGGTGTTTTTTGGAAACCTCATCCATATTTAGCGATTTTCAATGGTCGAAACTAAAGTTTATATTAACCTGTGTGTTAATCTATGCAAAAGGAGCCTCCGAGCAGTTTACATCATCAGCTTACTAGTCCTCAAAATGTTTTATACGACTACTGGCAAAGGAAAAGTTGGTTAATACATGGATCAGTCCCCTGTGAACAAATTAACAATTAATACACTGACGATACGATATGCATCTTAAACATTGGATAAAGTTTGCTGGTCTAAATCACAGTACCGTATGTGGGCAGGATTTTCTGCGGCTGAGAAATTTCCAATATTTTTCGAATAAAATCGGCTATCTAGAAATTATAGTCTGACTTGACAAGTCCTGATGGGACAATTTTGGACCAAGGTCGAAAAATAATTTCCAACAAAAATAGAAAACGCTATCCCTTAATTAGCGTTGTATTAAAAAACTCGTGAGGAAAGTGATTACGCACAGATAACTCAAATATTTTTCATTTGACTAATGCGACGCAGAGCACTGACGAAATGCACATCTTACTTTTTAGGTCTTATCTACGTGGAAATTTCAACGAAATAATATTTTCCTTAGAACTGCATCAGACCTTTTGAAATGTCAGAAGATGATGCTGGGTACACACAGATCACAAATGAATTGGACGACAAAAAGCGAACAAAGACGGGTTTTGCAAAGAAACATAAGTTAATCTATATCTGGCAATCGACATTCCTTTAGAGAAAAGTGGCAAAAACACTCCTGATTCGATATTTATACGACAAATTTTCATCGAACAGCGCCTTCGACATAACATGGTAAACATTTACTGAAGGCTTCTTTGAAAATATACGTTTATGGAAGCTTTAAATAGAGTGTAAGAATTTGGAAGAAAATGTCCTGTTTGCATCTTAAAACTTTTGGGGATGTCAGTTTTTCTGATGTCTTGAAAGAAAGGCTAATGTGTAACGTTGTAAAAAATGAATGCAGAGTATAAAAAGCTGTGATAATCATGAGAGAGTTCTTGATGTGTAGGTCCATGAGGCCAGTTCCGCTGACTCAGCAAAAGTAAAACATCTATTCGCAGTGTGCATTTTGGATATGGGCAAATCACTGACTACTTAAGAAGCGTGCATTTTCAAATGGATTTTCGATGGCGTTAAAAATTCAGATAAACTTCATAAAAACATGTGTGAAACGGAGCTTTCTTTTACTCGTTTAGTACAAAATTATGTCGTTTTTACATTTTATGCCCAAAAAGGCTATGGCTAGGTATGACTAGGTTATAAAACGTTTTAAATTTCCGGAATAATTGTGAGCCTCATCAGCAGTTGCACCAGTGTTTAGCCCTCGCCGCCTAAAAAGTGTACACGTTTTGTGTAAAAAAATCATATATTTTCTTGGGCCTTTGAGATGACACCATATAGAGTAGATAAAGTCTGTGAATAAATGCTGACTATGTTGCATATTTCATGAGGAGCAATGGTGAATGGACGGGCACCATGCTGCATGAACGGACATGGCACGATCTTAAAAAAATCTTAATTAAAAACTTTTTTTAAAATCGAACGGTATCCTTTCTTTGAGCATAACATGAGAAGAAAACATGATTTTCTACCAGACGAGTTAAAGAAACCATATTTGTGTGTTTGTTTTCTATAGCATATATTCCAATTTATAAGACCATCGGAAATCAATGTAAAAAATGGATGCATGTCATCTTTTACCAAAAGCGATTTTCGCATGAGGTCAAAAAGAAGTGCATTAAAAAACCAAAATCCCGACGAGTCCGAAATAGTAAAGCATTATGACTCACGACAATCGCTATTACAGTTCCATCTAAGTAATCCTTTCTAATCAAAAACGTATTTAAGAAATTCGGCCATCCTTTGATGAGATTAGTCATTCATTGTACATATTTTGGCCGTTTTTTGGAAGGAGACGGCAACTTCTGGCCAAAAATGTAAGTCAGACGGCAGAGCGGTCTAGAACTGCCTATTAACACGTCCATTCGGATATTTTAAGGGTATAAAAATTGCGGGAACAAATCATAAGCGCTTTCTTCTAAGGAAAGTCGTTTCTCAGGAAGTCTCACGTATTAAATTTACGTCTGCCTACAAGTGTCGTGCCATATTCGGATCAACACTTATTATGTCCCATAGTAGAAGACGCAGAACTGTTTTTAAGAATGTTTTAATTTGGTTATAGAAGTTTACTTCAAGTACTTGACAATGCGCACTCATCTTGCTGATTTCTCTTGCATAAATAAGGCAAGATAGGTCAGTCGGCTTCCAATTATAAGTCCAAAGACTGGTAAGCAAGATGTAGCATAATTGTTTTATTCTACACTATTACTGCCAACCAGATATCAGTTTACTTGACCAAACTCGCTTTTTCAAATATACAGAAAAAAGTGTAATTTGGCAGAGTTCAAAACCCTAATCGTCATGTTGCGTTGTATTCTGTAGGAAAAGATGTATTTTTAGTTGCCAGAACATACAGAAAGTTTTATTCTAAATTATTCGTGGAAGCAAAACTCTGTTCGTTTTAATGTACGGTTAATATTCGAGCAAGTCTCTTTCATTTGAAATGGGTGGATGTTACTGGGTAATTAGTAAGTAAGTTTTCAAATTCTGTCTATTCATCTCGAAAATTTCAGTTTAATACACTGTCCGCACGAAATTTTGCGAATTAGAAACAAAATTCTAAATGCGGTGAATATGGCTGGTTGACATGTGTGACTGTATACGTTTTCAGTCAAGCACTATATGAATGAGACCAATAAAAATTTTTTAAAAAATCTGCAGTCCCTACTCATGAAAACGTACTTCCGACCATCACAAATTATCATATCACGACATAATTTTTATGCCTGGATGTGTCCAAACGGCAAAGAAGACTGTTTCAACGCCTTCCCAACCCACGTTCAACCAGACATGCTCTTCATCAACCTGCCTCTTCTGCGCCACATACCTGCGGGAATTTCAGCTAATTACTGCCTCCTCAGCCCATCCAGTCACACTTTCGTTAGAAATCGATGAACCGCTGTTGAATAAATCTGTCGAAAAAAGACTGGCTAGGTCCTGCTCCAGTTCACACTCAAACGTTGGAGTCGAATAAAGTTAATGGACGGGAGAAGAAGAGTTCGATGTGTGCAAATGACGATGTATACTATGTACCCCACGACTTGGAGGGAACATCAGCTATGACTCCCGCACAAATTAATTTGTAAGGCGACCGACTTCCGCAACATCTCTCGCACTCCATCCTCCCTTGCCCATAAGGCTCCAACAGCAAGATAATGTCAAGAAGACGGGGACGGGTTCGGGCGCGGTGGCCGACAAGGCTAAACAAGCCGTCTACGCGTACCAAGCGCCGCCTCGTCAATCGCACAATGCACTAGGTTTTCACAGAATAGGGACGGCTTGGATTTCAGGTCCGCGAGATTGCTATAGAGACCATACTCTACTGACTTCCAGTCCTCGAGCCTGTTACCCTGCATACGCACATATTGCCGGCCACGACGACAGAGATATCCAGTCAGCTGGCAGTTTTCCGAGTTGCGACTATCAGCTTATCGTGATAAATTCAAAGTGCGTCTGATTTATTATGGTGAGAGGTGCGCTGATGTTTCGTGGGAATGAGTCCCCTACTGTCGACAGCCCATGAAAGCTTATCAGAAATCAGTTGGTGGAACTCCGGAAACCCTGTGATAAAATTAAAGTCCCAAAAGTGCGTGGGTGTCAGAGGCAAGTATAAAGAGATACACTTTTATGTACAGTGTATATCACTGCTAGATTTCATTTGCAAAAAGTACAAATTGGTACGCTGAAATATTGGTATTTATTAAGAATACTTATGTAAAAGTTTTATCCAAACACGGATTTTTGGTACCGGTGGCTATGTTTCAAGTTCTCTTACAATGTCCAGCATAAACTATGAACCGTTTTCCTTCAAAAACGTGAATGGACAAAGAACAAACACGAGCATTTTGAAGTAGACTAGTAAAGTCATTTGGAAATTCTAACTGTATAACCGCCTCCTGCTTAAGTAGGATACCTCTTGCCTAACCAGCAAGCTCTATATTTAGTCTAGGTGCTTAAAATCAGTAAGCAGATCTTTCATGTTATTTGCCCAATCTGCAAAGGTGTTATTCCCCAATACCAGCTGCGAATATTGAGCGAATTCTTCGACGATATAAAATAAGTCACTACTACTGAAAGGTGTGTTTGGATACTACTCTCAAAACTGTAATTTTCTTCGCATAATTTGACGAATATTTTTAAAGTGCAAATCAATTAATAGGTAACGTATGCCTGTAGGACGTGAAATAGGATCGAAAGCTTCGCTATAACTGTCATCCATAACTGTGTTATGTAAAAATACGCTACTATTAAACAAAAATGCATTTGTTTGAAGAACTACATTACTGCAAACTTCAGCATTAATATTTTCACCTCAGATGAGCACGAATATGTGGGAGTATATCTTTGAAATTTACAGTTTTATTGGAGATTCCAAACGCAAACCTTAGTCCTAAAAACTACTTGGTAAGATGTTAAACACGAAGTGTTTATGAAGAGGTAATTTGGCCCTGTCACTTTTAGCTTTACGCTTAATACGTCGTAGAAAGACGTGTAAAATAACTTTTGTATCACTAAACATGCCTGATAGAGAACAGCAGAGGAAAACGAGAATGTCGGCAAGGATTCTGAGGCACCAAACGTCACAGGACTTCAACGGAGCTTAAATGCAACAAGAAACCTTTGTAAGTGAGGAACAGACAATGCGATGATGTCGATGGTTACCTCCAGGATAGAGCAGTGCTGATGAAGAGATATCTAAGGAAGCACATAGACTCCACGGCACCATACCCTGCAGGGTAACCTTTTCGATGCAGCATCGGGTAACGTTGGCTAGGACGGGTTCGAGGAAAAACAACTTGCCCTTTATGTGGTAGCGGAAAATATGCCGAATCACTGTCGGCATTTTTTGAGAAAACCAGAACGCATCGTGTGAGGTGAATATTTCCCTCTCATAAATACTGTGTATATTGAAGAGCTGAAGGAAAAGGTGCTAACTGGAGCCGGATAACTGCATGTTTTACGAACGGATTTTTTAAGATATTGCAGATAGGAAAGGTTAGCAACAAGACTGCCCACTGCGAAGCAAAAGAATATTAAACACCAAAAATGATAGCAGTCTACCTTTCTGGGAGTATGGAAAATTGAGGTACCTCGAGTTTTGATCTCATTATACAAAACTTGGTTCTATTTAAATATAAATTTTCTGCGTTCTGATAAATGAAGTAAAAGATGAACCCACGTATAACTCAAAACGAGCTTTGGAGAGAGTAAACATCCTTGTATGAAATTAATCACGCGTATAGAAAAATGTAAAAATCATTCTCTGCCTCCAAAAATAAGCACTGGTTAAAATGAATTTATAATTCCTCTGCCTTTCTCTGAAAAAAGAACGTGATCGGCAGCTGGGAGCTGACGAGATTCCCTATTATTTATCGGTTTGAAGTCCACCGCCTACAGAAGGCGTCCAGAGTTAGAAGCGAATCGTAGTGAGTATACGGCCATGCTGACATGCATTTCAAATGAGTATACTTAGAAAATGAAAGTTGGAAAGTATCCTAAGTTAGTTAATGATCCATCGTCTCAATTCAATGCTGAAAATTCACTTGGCAAGGGGTTCCACCGAGTTAACCACACTCAAAACAGTATCCATCCAAATTTAGCCTCCAACCACCTGCAGCATTTAAATTACCAGGTACCTGTAGACAAGGCAGCAACTTTCTTGTCAGACTTTATTAAAGTTAGGCCAAATCGGTATTTTATTCAGAAGTTAATTCAGTGGTGCGTTCCGAATGGACAAAAAATGATTTAGGCTCAGATATTAGCAAGTCCTCTGGGCGGTGAAAGGGAAAATCTGTTAAATGCAATTGGCTTAAACAGACAATTCTGGTGCGTTAGTGTGTCCGTCACGTCTTCAGTCCACGCCAGACCATTCGGTGCTCCCTATACAGCAGGAAATTTTATCCTTCATTCCCGGGACCTAATGAATCCTTCTGTAGTGGTTGAATGGGAAATCTGACAACGTTAACAACGTTTTGCCCTTACGGCCCCTAAACGTGACTGTATATGCAAAATGAAATGTGAGTGGATGACAGGAATTGAAGCCTTACTTAATTTGCATACATTTTCAGTTAGTTAACAAAGAAGTAGCTCGGTAAATTTCACCTAGTGGTCTAAAAGCACAGACCTGGCTACCATGAAAAAGGCGATACCGTCTTTCCTGGAAGCAAAAAGCAGTCCGCTCCAGAATCGGACAGAAGACGGCGGGGTACGTAATAATTACTGCTTATTGCAGGCGGACTTGCACAAAATTTTAGGGGGTTAGAGTTGGGTTTGGATTCGGGGTTAGTGATTAGTTAGCATAGAAGTTAGGTTTAGACGAGGAATTTAATGTCTTGAAGAAGAAGACACGATCGCCGGGACAAGAGCGATCGTGTCTTCTTCTTCAAGACTGCTTCCTGGGACTCGTCTTTTCGCTTCTATTGGCGAGGAATTTAATGGTTTAATGATGCGGTTGGGGTAAGTGACAAATTCAGAACGCGGTCCAGTTTTCAAAGCAGATAGTGAAAAACTTGTAGGCATTTACAAAGGAGGCCTAAAAAATATATTGGATATTAAGTAAGTAGAGTGAAGAGCTTCTGTCTTGTCCGATTGGGATTTTCGAAAACTCCCGAAGGTCTTTAGTGTCTAATTTCGAGAGCAGCCCAGCAGCATTAGATAGGCCTTACTTCTCCAGGCCTATTTGGGGCACTATGATTAGGAAAAGAACTGTTCTGCGTTACTTTTTTTAGGATACAGGGGCATATTCAAGAGAATCATCAGATGCCTTTAAATCTTGGAAATAATATTTTAGTTTTCAGGAGAGTGCAGTTCGTCTCCCTAACCCTCGTTGTTTGGATAGTTTGGAGGAATGTAAATTGACTACCTACTTCAAACTTGCGCCAAATAACTATACAGACAAAACGTTTTCAATGGCATGAACAATATGAGATTACACAAAACATTAGACGACTCCGAATTTTTCAAACTGCTTTCGACTGGCAATTTTCAGTTATGAACAGGCGAATATAGGTTTTGATAAAGTAATTTCGTGCAATAAGGGTGCGTTTCTAGTCGTTGACCATTTCGTATGTATTCTCTGTGCTTACAGTACGCACAAATCCATTAACTTTCATAAGCACCTTACTGCACGCATTTCATACTTAAAGTATGTGCGGAATCCCTTAATGGGCTGGTTAAAAGGCATCGCCTTCTTTCGCAGGTATCAGTTGGGCATTGGGTCTTAGGTCTATAGACTGGGTCGCCTTTTCTAGGACAGTTCTAGCCCCTGGGAACTAAGGCGGCCTACATAAGGGGGACAAATAAATGCGAAAATTTATTATGGAGAATAGATATTAAGACCGGGGGTAGGACTCCCAAAATCCGCACTAACTTTACGACTCCTCAGAATAGATAGAAATCGAAAAGTTCAAATTACTATTTATGAAGGCATAACCAGAATCCAGGTAATAGATATGCTAGAGATTTATGATGCGTTGCAAAGCAACGTCCATGCGCACAGTGCAAGCTCCAGAGGGCATTATTTTCCGCTACTTCCCACATTGAGGCATCCCACTAATGAGATGTGAATTTGTGCCCGAAATCGACTTTTATGTGTGTGTGAGTGTTTTTTTCACATAATATTGCGCTCAGGTCTAAAAAGTGTCCGGATCTTTAAAATTAGGAACAATTCCGTTCCTTCGTCCTTCAGGTGACTTAAGGCAGTTGGCTGTAAGTACTAGAAGTGCTGTGAAGGCTGGGATGACGTTTCAGTTTTCACTTTTTTAATGGGGAGAAGAGAGTGGGAATTCCGGTTTACTATTATTTGTTAATCTGCGATGACAAGATAGTATTGGGCTTGCATCCTTATGTTATTCATCTTTTAGCGGCCTCGCGACTAGGGAACAGGCTGGGGCCGCCATGTTGTGCAATGTTTTTAATTTGACAGGTGTGCGTGATTGGTGGTAAAGCTAGGTCAAAAAGTGATGTTATGACCATCATTACGTTCCTAAATTTCTATCGTGTGATATCTCTGATATAACTACTCCAATGTTTAAGCTTAGATCTTTGTAGTTTCCTCAGGAATTAATTTGCGACCCTCGAGTAAAGTTCGGTGTACAAGCGTATTTGGTCCCGTTGCAAATTTTAAATGACTGTAAGAACCGAATTCCGTCAGATTAAATAAAATAGCGGTGGCCACATATACGTCGCAGACGGGCTGTCAGTAGTATTTTTAAAGATGTATTGAAAATTTCGTATTATATTCCAAACACAGCACAATTTATACTTCTAATCACTCGTTCCGATGAAAATTATACGGCGGTTTCCTGCTTACCCGAGAGTGGCCGTATTTCTCCTAAATCCTTTTCTTTGTAAATGTACTATAGGTCTCCAGCGTTGGATTTTTCCCGGCTCCTTTGAAGGTAACTAGTAAACTTGGAGTATAATCTGCAGCTCAAGTCTTTCGAGTTGTTCCACATATTTGCTGTGAAAATCTTGTGGCCTAATTCTGTCTATTTCAGTGGGATATCCACAAAGATTCATACAATGAAATTAAGATTAAAATGTTTTACTGAACTTGGCGAACGATTTGCCGTGGTTAGCAAACATTTTCTAACTGTCTGGTGTTTCATTGTAATTTCAGAAATACTGCGAAAGCGCACATCGATAATCATTTTAAACAAATTGGTTTTTAACTGAGTCCTCAGGCAACGTAATTGCGTTTGGATTTTCATCAAGTATAAAAAGAAAAAAGCAGTTACATTTTTGGGATACGTAAGATCACGTTCTTTCTGTAAGTCGGAGTAAAGATTCTTATATTGTATTTCATGCATATAAAACTAATTTGTTGACCACACATAGTACTAGGGCGAAAAGACTTTACTTTCTTTAAGGGGGTATAGTCAGTAGTCGATTTCAGGAAAGTTAAACAGTAATTCTGAAATGCGTTTTTGGTTAGAAAGGATTGCTTGCGTGGAGTGGTAGTATCGCTTATCCTGAAAGATAATCTCGTAATATTTCATGTATGCCAGGGTGTTGTCTATTGAATAAACCACTTTTCGACCATCTTCAAGAACCGCAATTGGAAAAAATGACTTCTTAATAAGCATGCATTTCCTTCATGGATTTTCGATGTTCTTGTAAGTTGAAACGTGTTTCATAAAAACTGTGTAAAATAATTATTGTATTAATTTCGTAGCATATCATGTCTTCATCATATTTTGTACCTAAAGAAAAAGTATGATCTAGTTTTATAAGTATTTTTTTAGCCTCGAATAATTCCGTACTCTATCCGCCGTCGCGTTTTTGTTTAGGGTTTTCAATCTACAAGCTGTATGTTTTCCGATTAAAGATTATTATAATTTCCCCAATCGAGATAAAAAAAATCTTCCCAAAAACGCATCTGTTTGCACGGCCCCCAACAGTTTGTGCGGATTTTCTTAACTAATCTTGAATGTGACTGAAATTCATTGGTGGGCGCAATAGATTCAGGAGCATGAACATTGCAGGACAGTTATTACGAATGAGGTTTTATGTGAAACTTTTATGATTACGAATAAGAGCGTTGTGAAAAGCGAAGGTTATATTATTTGGAAGGGATTTATTGATAGTTGAATTTGTCTTTAAATACTTTAAATAAGATTAATTTTCTGAACGCCAACCTGAAGTGGTATGAAAAGACTTTTTCCAACAGCCATGAAGCACGCCTTTAAAAACTTTTTCAGTCTGTTTCTGGTGAGTACTAGTATAGCATAAAGTTAATAAAAAGTGGGTATTTAAAAAATGATAGATTCCCACACAAAGTTAACCCGCGGAGTATCGAAAGTGCTTACTTTAATTCCTCTTTTTGTCCGAACCAAAGACGCCTCCTTTTCATGCCGCGATTGGATATATTCAGGAGGACCCTGTAAGCGGCTTTTTAATTCCTGGGAGGGTGGCTGGACGGCCAACGAGTCCTTGCCGTTGGGGATGCTTTCAGGTTCAAACTTGTACAAAAATGTTGCCTGTACAACGGAGGTATGCATAAGGAGAAGGAGGAGAAGGAAGTGGAGACGAAGGATGCGTAGGCAGACTGCAGTGTGACAAGAGGGGTGGGCTCTCCAATGAAGAGACCTGCGTAGTTTGGAATGTGAAAACAAATCCTTCACCCAGCACAGGGCTGATGATGACAGTGATGCTTTTGGGTAGCAAAATCCTCTGTCTGCTTGAGATGACAAAGGGTGCGGGATAAAGGTCGATGTGACCTGCTGGTGCCAACCAATCGCCGTATGCATGGGGCGCGAGGGGACATCGGACTCTGACCTCTGGTCAGGCGTGTCAGGGAGACACATAGCCAGTGCGTTTAGGAACATTGCTCGATGCTTCAGTTGGAGACAGTCTCAGAGAGGACTCTCGTTCATTTTACTCTAAGAGGATGAATAATATTATACACCTGCAGCACCAGAGCTTAATGACACATGACGATTCATTGAAATGTGGTCACACGTATTGCATGATCACACCAGGTAGGAGTGATTGTCAAAGAATGACAGCGAGAGATCGGAGGGCAAAAGCTGGGGCGATGGAGGGAGAGACCGGCCGGTGGGTCGGATCTGAGACGCGTGAAAGTTGAAACGCACACGGGTTTGCGGGCGCAGACACGCTGGTGCGCACGTGTACGGTGGCGTGTGTGCGGTGAACTACCGCGAGGCAGACATCCACCTGCATTGCCTCGGCTCTCGGTGTGTCTGGGCTTCGATCGAAAAAAGGTCACGAATCTATCGAGAATTGCCAATGAACGCAGCCACCTGAGTTAACATAAAAAAATAATTCGTGGACCACAACTCGAGTGGTTGGGGACGCGTGCGATCCGGTGAGTGTGTACGATCTCTGCGTCAGTCTCCTTCTTTTTGGCAAGGTTTAGGCTCCTACTTTTGCGCATACTATTGGCAGATGTGTAGGTAAGTGGAAAGGTCGCTACTCATTCGGTTACTCCACTGTCTACCACAGTACTATTCGTGTGTCTTTATTTGTGATGGTCAAAGGCAAGTTAATGAAGAAATAAATCAAAACGCTGAGTGCTGACAAATATTTCGGTAGGCATTGTTTATACAAGGACCAAAGGACACTGGGATTCGTGGATTTGTCGCACGTACTTCTTGGAGACTCTTCCTTAAACTGTTATAGACGGGAATAAGGCATTAGTTTGATGCGCCTTTTCCATTCAACTTCATGAGCAGCAGAATTTCCTCCTTTTATCCTATATGACTGTGCTTTGTATAGAAGTAGGAAAAACCTAGTAGATTTGCGCGGGGCGAGTGAATGCGACAGTATATTCTTACGACTTTAGTTTTCAAGCACATTGGCTTCGATAAATGTCGTAATTTCATGGTAGTGACTCGGTTGACCACGCACAGTTGCAGAAGACACACATAAGAATTATGCACTCATACTCCCCGAAAAGTACGTGTTCTACTGACTTTCAGCTGACAACTGACGAAACTAACGATGGTTCAGCTCATCGAGTTGTCCTTCACGTTTTTCAATGTGTGATCAAATTTTCAGTGTAAAGTTTTTAACCTTATTAAAAGGCAATATAGAAACATGGGGTAAAGGCTCCGGGACGGCATATTCAAGCTTGCTGTCAAATTCACCAAACTCGTCCGGGATTGTGCATAGTGCTCGATCTGGGAGTACCATGAAACAGTTATTATCTGTGCCAGCTATACTACTTGCTGACTGTTTGCAAGCGAACTTTGTACGGTTATTCCGTTAAAGATCGTATCTTCAGCTAGAGTTTTCGCATTTGTGTATGTAACGTGAAAATCGTGTCGCGACGTCCATGAACAAGAAATCGTATGCTGATTTCGGATGAGATCATAAACGCAATTGTGAAAAGTGTCTAATGGAAGTTATCTAATAATGGGTGGTTATATCTTGATATAAAAGGCAGTGGGGGCTATTTTCTAGACTATTTGACAATGTTTACCGTACCTTAAGGCTTCTTAAATAACTGCCAAATTAATAGTCACAGACTATGGACTTATTTTATGACACTGATCGCTCTTAACGCAGATTAATTGATTTTCTCGCGCATATTTGGAATTCGAAAATTTTTGCCCGAAATTTTTCCGTCGTCAGTTGTAAGATTAGAAGACATCCATTTCTGTAGAAGAGCCGCTTTTTGTGGTTAATGCATATTTCCTACGCCTTGTAAAACAAGTTTTGCCAAAATACGGAAAATGTTTGCTAAAAAATTACTGTTCTGTGTTGCTGGAATTATGGTAGACTAACTACTTACAGTTACTTGCATATTCATCTGAAATAACAAATTGTCGGAGGCTTTAAAAGTCTAATATAGATGTGTATCTACAGTCGCTAACCGATCTCATGAAATGTTGATCGAAATTCTAAAATGAATTTTCGGTTAGGAGGGACTACTTAGGTGGGATTGTAATAGTAAGCATCACGTGGCACATTTTTACTAACAAGAAGGCTTTGTTTAAAAGCGTGCCCGACATTAAAACTGAAAACTTAAGTCAAATGTATTGAAAAGTGCGCTTCTACTTTTTCCCTAACACCCTGCAGGGGCACATCATCTTAGACGTACTGTATTGACTTCATTTGACCTCTATGAAGCTGCAAACGTTTCTTACCAAAGGCAATTTCATCTTGAGCAGAAGCAAAAGAAGTCAAATCGTCAAATCGGTCAGTGGTAAAATCCTCCAAATGCCTTTCAGTTTCGCGATGGGGAATACGACTTAGGAATATTGCTTGGGATCGGAACGTCGAAACCCCGCAAACCAAGTAAAACATGGTAATGACTATTTATAGATGATTGTTTTTGATCATTTACCCGTACCATCCTTAGATGTATCGCCAACCTATGTTAGTCGGAAAGATAGGCAACTTATAGGTCCATTTGACGACGTTAGTAAATACGATCAGGGAAAATCTCTGATGTTTCCCACCAATAAATTTTTTCAGAAAGCATTATTGCCTTTTATTGCAATTATTCAGGGGTCATTGTGGAGGATAACAGCAGAGCACAGAAGAATCCTTGAGATTGTCAGACTCAAGGCTCGAGTTAACATTCAATGATTTATAAAACTGGCAGGGAATGTTTGCAGAATACACCTGAACAGTAAATGTTGCACTCGAATACGTGATTTGAAAACAAAACGATCTGGGGTTTTGCATGAAGTTACGTGAAGCATTCTGACTGTTTAAGGCTCTTTTCTCGCGTATGCAGTCACTGAGTTAGGCGCAGGACTATTTGGGAAATAGACAAAAGCGTATTTAGTAGCAGTCCGTCCAGAACTCTTCCAGGTCTTTCCATTCCCGTGTTAGAGCGTTGCACCAATTTTTAGAACAACTTGTCTTTGGAAGAGAGACAGGTAGAGAGGGGGGTGCAAGGCAAGACCTCGAAAACGTTTTCGCTAAAAACGCCTGCCGATTGTCCGGTGGTGTGATAACTGATCCGCGCCAGTTTCCTGAACACACGCCCACACAGAGTGGGCATCTGTGCCTTCGTTTGTGAGCTTTCATGCGAAGTACAGACTCCTTTAATCTTAATAATATATCTTGTCATGTTTGACAGGCCCATGCACTTTTGCCAAAGCAACCCCAACTTTAGCCCCAGCCCCGTCCCTCGGGGTGCCTGCCGATCAACCCCAGATGGTGGGCCACATTTAATGCGTTGACAGCCGCTGAGGGCAACTGCGGTGCTTTGTCGAATCCTTCTTGAGGGGCAGGGGCGTGCCTGTGCCAACTGCGGCTGGTGTTGCTGGTGATGGGGGCGCGACAAACCCCTTTCAAGCTACGCTGTGTGTGTGTGTTTGTAGTTGCCAGTGTGCTAATGGCAACGCGCATGGCGGATTGCAAACTTGTATATGGGCGCTCGCGTGCGCGCGATTATTTCAGATCTTCTCTCTTATCTTTGGCACCGACCGCAACTGCTATTTTAGTGAGGCTATAACGCCCAGTCCCTGCTCCAGTTGTCTGCTATCTACCGACCCTCTTTCACTACCCAAAGCCTTATGCTATTCTGCTTTTCTGCAGACTGACAGGCCGAAAATACTTCAGGGGCATCTTACTGAAGCCCTCCCTGATGTGAAATCCCCTCGAAATGCAAAAGAGTAGTTAAAAAAAGTTTAAAATGGTCAAGATACTATGAAGAGACATCCTTTCTAGTCAACATCGTGTTTGACCAAAATGATTCTAAGTAGTACATGCACCCTAACCTTCTTCTAGGGAGCAGATACGCATTTTGAAAGTAATTTTACAGGCAAAGATTCGCTTAGTACCTTCAGAAGATATGCAGAATCGTCTGTTTTCCCAAGGTTTGTCAGACTATGTCCGTCTTTACCGACAGCTGGACCAAAAGACCACTGACCGAACCGTTGAGCCATGCCCAGAACCGAGTCATGAAAACGCACTTCCGCGTTGAACGGGGCTCCATAGCACGCCAGCCACTGTACCCCTGGATGGGGCGCTCGCAATGGAACTTTATGCTGGGTTAACCACTATTCACGCGTCTATCCCCAGTCATTCGCTCCCCATCTGGACTTCGGAACATTGGTGGTGTGAAAAAAGATAAGGCTAGTGATGTCCGGCGCACCACGGCACTCCCGAGGAGGAGGCGGCGGAGTTTGTCGTATGGATCAGGAGTCGAGTTCATTAATCTGCTTTGATATTAGGGCATCATACGGGGTTTCCTGTGTTGCCTTGGTTTCCCAAAATGGCTGCACACCGTCCGTCAGTCGGGTCAGGCCAGTGAACGCCATTTCCCTTTGGCTTGAAATGCTTCCGATTTCCATCGACTGAGTGGGCGTCCATGGTTAAATCGGAAGAGGTTAGAGGACAGGGCTGAGGTACAAATGACGTAATCAGTAGGAGGCTATAAAACTTATCTGGCCTCCATTAATAAGGCATCAGCATTGTTACGAACGTATCTTGTGTTCTTCGTGGCCAGTTGGGTATGGATTTATATGAGGCCCTGTCAGAAGTATCATATACTCCATTACAGACGTGTGCCACGGAATTTGAGTTTGTTTAATTACACGTTTGGAAGCTTCTTTGCTATCTTTGACCACACAAGTCAAAATACCTGTTAATTACTTATGACTGTTGTTAAGGTAACGGATAGCTCAGAAAATTTTTATCCAGATAAACGATGGCACAGAAAGCAGGGCGCAGTTACAAGTGTTTGATGACACGAGGAACTGTAGATAGAAGCCTTGGCCTGATTTAAAGCTCAAAGTTGGGCAAGAGAAGGATAGAAAAGCGAAACGAGGTAACGAACACATGGGGATAATTTATAAAAATGTACTTATTTGTCAAAATGTTGCAACGAATTCACACAAATTAAAAGTAAACCGTGTACTGCCGATAGAAGCGAACAGGCGAACTCCAGGCAGCAGTTCAAAAGAAAAAGAAGTAGCGATCGTTGGAACAAGAAGTTTATTGGCCTGACGTTTCGGTCCCCCACTCGAACCCATCATCAGAGACAGTCGCAGGTAAGTGTAGTAGAAGCACAAAGAGTGCAGTATTTATAGCAAGTAGCTGCCGTATGACCATATGTGCACTGTAATTAACAGCTCTCATAATCATCGCTGGGGGTCGTAATTGATGAGATGCTGGTTCGTCAGTCCGCGTCCGAGTTTTTCATTGGCGCAATTTTATCATCCGTGTTAGACGTCAGTGTGATGATTACTCGACCATTTGGGTCGCTGTCATTGGGATTGTTGATCGTCCACGCACTCCCCACGTGACTGATTCCCCTGCTCAGTGAACGTCTCGGCATCGAATATGGTAGCGGGGGGTGAGAATCCGAAACGTTATGCTAATAAACTAGTTTCAGTGATCGCATCTTCTCCTCCTTCTTCTAAACCGTGCACTGTCTGGAACTTGCTCCACTTTTGTATGAGGATGACAAGCACTTATTGTGGCTCTTAAACAATATCTCAGGGAACCAGGTCTCCGTTTTTTTTAAATTTAAACTGCTCTAAAACACAAACATTTTGGAAACTAGGACGGCAGAAATTACCGCTGCAAAACGTGTTAGAATCCAGCAACCTTCAAAAACTTATACCTAAAAACTCCAAGTAAACGCTGATTGCGGCGAACAAAGTCAGCCAGCAAACGTTGAAAGTTTGCCTTTTCCACTGCTTTGCGGCGCTTCATAGAATGCGATTCCTCGTTTCGTCGGGACTTTTTTGATGTCATTTTTCTTGACTTTTAATGACGTTAAGTCCTGGATTATTAATCCCGTGCTGTTCCAAGCCAATGAAATAGGGGGACATTTACAGTCCACATAGTTCGGCTTGACTAGGGAGTCTAGAGCGTTTTCATCATAGACGAAACAGACTACCGGACGCCGAAGGTAAAAGCCAAGGGAAACTTTCTTGTACGGGTAGCTTATCTCTCTCGGACCAAGTAAAATATTCCGCAGGTCTTAGAATATTTGTGATTAGATACTAATTGTCATAAAACTACGTGTATTATTAGAAGCTAATATACCGAGCGAAGCCTTCAGTGGAATCTCTTTATCACAACTGCTGGAAGCTGAATAATAGATTGTTCCATTTAGGGTTCTTGTTTTCAAAATTACTGGGTCATCATACACATAGTTCGAACCTATATTACTGAGTATTTTTCGAAAATATAAAGACTGCATCGATGTTTAAAAAAAGCGTATAAACATATATATACTGAATATATATACACAAAAGCTAAATTTAAAGCACAATTTATTTGTCCAGGCGATTATACTCCGGACTCCGCCCAGTTATGTTTAGGTTAATTCTGCTGGTGACCTAAAACGGTAATAAGGACATAGGTCATGTCGCATTGGGAGACGAGACTGAACATTGTATTCTAGAGTGCCCCATTTCGATCTAAATATTCACTTATAGTCCCATGGGTTTAATATGGGAATGTGTACCCTCGTATTGCACGTGACCTTGAGCTGAATTCCAGAGGGTGTGTTACATTTAAGATACAGAAATAAGTACCCACCGGAATTTAATGAAAAGTAAGGTCGTTATTCCCATAGCAAAACTCCAAATGTCCCACGTAATTCCTTTTTTCATGCTCATTTTGATGTGGTTTTATATCTGTCACAACGTTCTTAAAGATCTTAAAATGAGGACGCGGGACCGTAGGGGTAATGGCCAGTGTGCCATCATGATTTTATTGGTAGAAACGTATTGTCTGCAAAGACAGAGGTGAATAAGTGGACCCGTTTCTCATTGGTTTCTGCCATCAAACCGCCCAATCCCGGGCCGGGAAGATTGTGAGTTCGCGCCCAAGTTCTTTGCGCATTGAGCAGGCGGTCTGCCACCGAATCATGAGTTCTAATCTTGTTAGTTGTAATTGATGATGTTAGAAGTCATCTGGTAATGGCGTCCATCAGTCTGTTCTGGTTTCAGGATGAGGTAGAAAGGAGACTTTTTTATTGCAGTTAAAGTCCAATCAACCGCATACTGAGCATTCTGTAGTCGGACCATTTGCGAATGTCATTTAATGTCGGCATGCAGTAGGCGTCTGAATCCCTTATAAAGAGAAGAGCGGGTAAACCAGTGGAAGACCATATTTTGCTTATTTGGCCTTATGAAAACATCGCAGGTAAATGTTTTCACCATGAACCGCAAAAATAGCACAAAAACGTACATTCCTATCATATGCCGAGAATTGTTTACTACAAAGGATGTGATTATTCAGATATGATTACTCATGGCATATGACACTTCGGGTTCCTGTGTGCGTTGCAGTCACACCTTGGTCACCTTCAGCAGGCACTATCCGCATGTTTTTTTCTAAATCTGACTAATGTAACTCAGCTAACGTTTAAAGGGTTAAACATTACCACCTGTCTTAAATGTCTTAGTCAAGAGCATTTTGTTCTAGTTACAATGACTTGGAGTCCCTTTTCTTATTTATGTAATAGCAACCATTGAAGAGATGAACATTTTTGATGCTCTTCAGTGGCAAATTGGTTTTAGTCAGTTGCAGGTATTCTTATACGACATGGAGGTTTACTTACTTGCCTAACTTCTACGTTTGCTAAATGAAGTATGTACTAGCGTTGAACCGTTTGAAATTTATAAGACGGGACACTTATAATACACAATCCCGTTAAGTATGCTTGTAGGCACAAAACCCGATAGCCATAAAACGTCAAGTGCCACATGCAACCTCGAGTATTTTACCACATTATTATACTACTTGGAAAATAGACCCGAGTTCACTTCCACGCCCTTTAAATGTCTCGTTCACAGCTTCGGGGAAGAAAGCGTAGAGCAAAATGCAAAGCTACTAAAAGTTAATTAGTCGCTGGACGAAGTTAGCTTTTATTTTATTTATCAACTAATTGTTAGCCATTTTTCTTGTTTCTACACATTCATCTGGAAAGGAAAATACCAGGGAATTCCACGTATGGGACGAATACTCAAGTTCCGAGTGTACTTATGAGCAAAGAAGGAGAAGTTTGGTTGAATATCGGAATCATTTGAATGTTTCCCTGATCTTTAGAACGCTTGAAGGAAACTATGGTCGTAGATGTTACCGGCAGAAAAATAGGCACGTTATAAGAGGCTTTGGCCAGTCAGCGGCCGCTGGTGCAGGTTTTGAGTTGTCAGCACAGAACTCTATATGCCGACTGTCTGGGTTCTCATCCGTGACCCATGCACAAACCAGTTTTCGACTTGCCTTGCTTCCGGCGTGGGAGATCATCTTCGCGGTTGCGAAACTGAACTCATGGCCCCATTCGAATGTGTGGGCAGTCAGTTGCGGTAATTCCTCGTCCTTGCGTACAGTCAGCTTCTGAGCACGTGTGCGCGATCCGAGCATGTTTTCAGTCTGACCTTGGTAGTTACGAGGACCGATCGGGAACGGGATGCGATATGTTATCCCAGACTCTTCCTTTGCAGTTAATCGCTCTTGATTTTCATGGCCCTGTTGCACATGGCAGCTTTGGGTCGGTGTGCAGTTCTTGCACCTCGTTCCTCGGTAGTGCAGTCAATCTCTTCTGAAGCGTCCCTAATGTATGGCAACCCAAGCCGTATCATCGATGAGTCTCCAGTTAGGTTTTCTGGGGGCGAACAAGTAGACATAGGCTTTAAGCGTCTTTTACTTGCCAATGAAGCAAAAATTAGTCACGGAGATATCGGGCCTCATGTGTCTCTTCTTCTAGGTTGCCTGGGTCCGGGATGAGAATCCGGTGAGTCGATGCATCGATCTGAGGCTGGTATACAGTGCGCTGCGCAGCCAGTTCAAGACCTGCGTCAGCGGCCGCTAATTGCCTAATGCCTTCAATAATATCCTCTTTCTCTGCAGCCCTTGTAATCTCTGACGATGAACTTGTGCACGAGTTCGATAGCCAAGAATACTAAGGAGAGGGTTCCGACGTTCGACTAGCCTTCTTTTTCTTCTTTTTCTTCTTCTTCTTCTTCTTCTTCTTCATCATCATCTTCTTGTTCTTGTTCTTCTTCTTCCTTACTCGGCTGGGAATTTTCCAAGTACATAAATGCACAACATTTAAGCGATTGAAGAATTGAAATGGCTCCGGGCCAAGTAGTCTAAAAAATTTGCATAAACTGGTGCGTGAATCAACATATGGCAGTAAAGATCCAGCTTTGCAATTAATGTAAGTTCAACTTTAGAATACATCCTGGAGGTTGCGTAGAGGTATTTTTTGTTCGATGATAACACTCCGTAAGATACCATGTTTACGGGCATTATTTGCCCATTTCTTCTAAATAGTAGGGGTAAACTTACATAGGCAAAAAATTATTCTGAAAAATGTTGTCCAGAGTTTCATGTATTTTAGCCCTGACTGTACCCTTACCTATTGCTGACACCTTTTGTCCAGTGATGAGTCGCGGTCTCTCTTCTTCCGAGGTTATCCTCCACCTGATTTGGGATCTATTAATAGTTCGCGAACGCCTGTTGGCTCTCGTTATTCGCCCACTCACACTTCAGCTATGATTAAATGTCAGCTATCCACTAATTTAAATTTTTGCTAGGCTCTCACATGCATCGTTTCCAGTCGCTGATTTGTCTGCCTCAACCATGTGCGTTCATGTGAAGCAGTCGGTGTGCAAGTTTCAGGTTACCTGCTAGTGCATGCCGTCAAATGGCCTAGATTCCCCCTCACGCATTCACCTACGATCACCATCTCTCCCTCTTCCGGTATCAGCTCCCTCTGGTGACATCTGCGAATAATTGATGGTCGGACAGCTCACCTATCAGAGACCGCAATCGGTGCCCACACTCCCTCGCTATCTGCGGGATCACAGCCCTCGGCGTCGGAATTGGCGACGGCGGCTGCACACCGGCGGTCCAAAATTTGGGCGTGACAGAGACCGCCGCCACAGGGGTGGTCGAGACTCTACGCTGCCAGGGCAGTAATCGCGGTCGTGCAAGTGGATGCTCGGCGGCTGGTGACGAAAGACCCTCACATCCGTCTGGAGGACGCAGGCGTGCACCCCAGGTTCTTCGTACTTTTCACTCTAACCGCCTCGGGCGCAGTCGTGCTATCGCCATCCTGCGGCAGCGGTGAGGTGCCGACGCCCGCTCTCGGCAGCCCCACGCTCAGCCTCCGTGGGGTTTCCCTTGAAATGTATGGAGACGAAACCCGGCGCGATGAACAAATGGGTGAAGAAGCTCGATTACATCTGACGAAGCAGAAATCAACCAATTCATTTAGTCTTTGTGTGTGTATGTGTGCTAAAAGCAGATCCGACAAATTCATGGGAATTTGGAATATTCATATCTGATTTATTAGCCGTAGTCGGCCAATCTTATCAAACCGCATGGTTTTGGGGACATATGAGGTTCAAACCGGGGTTTTATTGGTTATTGAGCGTCTTTATGTCCAACGCTGTAGCCATCAGGTAACGGGCTCGTTGTCCTGTCGCTTGCGATCGGCCATCCCAGCCTCTCTTGTCTTTGTTGGGTTTCCTTCCAACAGATGTTCTTAGTGTTGCGAAAATTCCCAGTGTAAAATTTAAAAGGCAATTTGGCGAGCATACGTCTGCTTTCGATAAATTCTCTTCAGGCCTGTCCATTTATATGGCTATTCAAGTAATAAATTAAAAGATACGGATAAGTAGATAATTAAGCTGTAACTCGGGTTTGGAGAGGGGAATGGAGGGCGCACCCATCAATAAAATTCACTCTGGATGTGCTTCTGAGTAGAAGACCTGACGACAGCATTCTACGTAGCGTCTATCGTAAGAAAACGTGGTCCGGGCAATACACCCATTTTGGGAGTTTTGTACCACTAAACGTTAAACGTAATTTAAGCCGCTGTTTGACAGAAAGAGTGAGAAGAATCTGCTCAGCTGATAGCGTTGAGAAAGAGCTTAAGATTATCGAAAGCCTTTTTCGTCAGAACAGGTATCCTGATCGATTCATTACTAAGAACATGGCCAAAAGACCACAAAAGCCCCCGATACTGACGGCAGGAAAGAAAAGGCTCTTTATCAGGGTCCCATTTCAAAGGGATGCACCAAGTGAACTTTTAAGAAGACGCCTAACTCAAGCTATATCAGAGACCTTTCCAGCAGCTGACACCCGTCGACAAATCCCAGCCTAACCCCAACCTCTAACCCTCAAATCTAACACCTAACCAAAAACCCTCACCTCTAACCCTAACGCCAATCCCTAACATTAATATCTAACCCCCATCCTCAAACTCTAACCCCTAACCTCAATCCCTAACCCTAACCACCAACCCCTAACCCTAACTCCAAATCCTAACCCCTTATAGGTACGACTACGAAGTGAAATATTGCCGAAAGATCAATAAAGATGAATGGTATAATGCCAGAGCCCCAGGTGGAACTGGCATCAGTTAAGCAAATGAACTATTTGAGGTTCTGGGCAACTCCTACCAATTCTTTAAACGGATCCGTCCTCCCGATCTTAGCATGCAAGCGTTGGATGGAAGATGAAGCACTCTTAACAAAAGTCGACCGACACCGTGGCCGCAAAATAACTGCCTGAAGGTCATCCTAAAGCAACTTGTCGTCCTGCTTATGAGGCTGCACAAAGCCTTCGGCCGCAAGGATTTTAAGGCACAGAAAAATTAAATAATCGATGTGATTCCGGCGGAGGTTGAAAATCTCCACTAAATGGTGTTATTGTTCTTATTAGTGGTAAAATTATAAAACAGATGAACTTATGTTCCAGATACTGCTAGTGCTTGTCTCCAAAGAAAGTCTTTACCGTCACCTTGTTTTCGATTTATGGAACCGAAGCTGCACACAAGCACACCAACCCAACGCGTCTCAAGTGTTAAGCTGCAGTCATGAGGAGCGAATTGTGAAGAAAATTGAAACACTGTTGAGGACATGCCAGTCAAGAATAAAGTGTGTTTCGTGGCCGGAAAAGGTAAAGTTTATTATCAGTTCATTCCGTTATTTGTGATTATTGCCATCCTACTGGCTCTCACAAAACTACAGAATCTGTGCACGAACAGCCTTCAACTTTGGGAGTCATCTCGTTGAATTGACGGTCCTTGGCTGGTCAGCCACCCAGACTACCATTACAGATGGCTAAGGCCTAGACAGGATCCAGTTCTCTATCGAGCTCTGTACTTCATCATTTAAACTACATCATTTGAGATCATTAATGTTCCGTTTTTAGAATTGCTGAAACATTTATCGAACACCTGAATAAACGGTCGTCAAGTGGTGTTATCGACTGCTGGTTGTCTACCAATGCTCAGCTTCCGTTAATACAACAAGAACAAAGGAAGAATGTTTCTACGTTTTTGTTTTCTTTGCCTCTTCTCAAAACATGGCAGAAGAAATAATTTTGGCCCCTCAGCGAGGGGACTTCTTGAGGGAGTGAGTCTACGTATATTTTATTAGGCAATCGTCACTGTCCTGAGGTGACCGGGCCAAAACAGCGTGCAGACTTTGCTAGATGACAAACCTCCTGTCAAAAATGCCGTCCGTGTGGTTCCTTCTTCGATGCTAAATGTTTGCTTTAGTGACTGTACTTGGTACCGGCTGGGCGGAGGACTCCACTTAACTGTTGGTAGACTGTAGATCGTCTCATAAGGGAATGGTGATTGTGGGGGTTTTACAGGTGAAGCAGGGCGTCAGACAGTAAACTGACGAAATACAGGAAAACAGAGAAAGTATTTGTATTCCTGACGTACACTTTCATGTGTCAACGGAAATAAGCGCGTCAATTAAAAATTGAACAAAAAACAAATTTTCAAAAAATGACGGATAATTAAGTGGGGTCCTTCATCCTCCCGCTGCCACGTACTTTTTATTTTTTATGGATGCGTAAATTTGACGCAGTACCAGCCTTCTTTTCGAAGTGTTTATGCAGGTTTTCGCGAGACTGCTATCTCTCCTTCTGGTGCAGGCATTGAACTAGTTGCGGAGGAGAGGATACCAAGGCGAGAACAACTAGCTGATGGTTTGCGCAGTCGGAGGCAACCTCCTTTTTTCCCGAAACAAATTAAGTCAACGTCTACTTTTCACCTCTTACCCCTGTACAGGAACCGGGTCAGGATAAAGGCGTCTGCATGGATCTTATCCCGGCAACAGACAGCTGAATGAGGTTTTTCATCGGAGGCCAGAAGTCGTTTTCGCGCCCCAATCAGGCCTGATGACGAAAACGCCGATCTGACCGCAAACGCCCTTACCTACACCCGGAACCCATGGCCTGATCAATACACCCTGCACCCCCCTGTTTCGCTCCAGACCTTGTTACTTACCGCGGATCAAAAGATGCAACGAACATAATTCCCAGTTAGGAAGGACAACGCAGACAGAAAGCATTTGTTTTTCTGGGTGGCCCAGACTGTTTTTGTCTCTCTCTCTCCCTTTCGGGCTGCATGAGAAATAGTCTAGGAAAGCAGAAAAACACATGCTTGCACACACGATTGTACACACACTAACACAAACCGTTTTAGAGTCTCGGTCGGAACACCTGGCGATCAAGGTCTTGCAGGATAGTGACAGAGAGGGCGTTTGTTATCAATGGAAAATGTGAACGCTACTCTTTTCATCATGCAGTTTTTAAGAGACCGACTGGATTAAAAGTTTCAGCATTAAGGAGGCGCATTCGCAAACTGCTCGGAAGACAAATTATGACACGGGTTACAGAATACTGGACTGTGCAGAAGAGCAGGCGAAATACAAGTCGTTAGTTTGGTATTGAATGTAAAGATGGCCATCTTACTGGGCGACCTTCTTTTGAGATGTTATGCTTCCTTTCCCCTTTAGGCGAGTTCGCGGAACAAGCAGTAGGTCTTCGTACAGAGGCCGTAGATCACACTACTGGAACAGTCGTACAAGTTGGTTCTAATCTATTACTTGGCCTTTGAACAGTCATCTCGTCCGCGTGACAGACTTGTTAAAATTTTATATAGGTACCCAATTCATCAGATGGGAACCCTTAGTTTTCTGTTTGAGCTACCACCGCTAATCCAAGTGAAAACAGTCTTCTACCGTCTACCAGTTACAATGGGCTTCTTAATTTGCAACCAATTTATCCTGAAAACATACTCGCTTCTCGCTTTCTGTGGATATTTGAGGAAGACAGACACGTTTCATCGTTCTGAAGACTGAACTAGGGGGTTGCATGAAGCAGTTGGTGAAAAGAAAATCGGATTGCTGGGACAATAATTTATTCGCACAACGTTCCGGATTCGTCCTCTAGCTCACCATTAGAAACGGTAACAGATTGAGGTAGTGGACACTCAGGAGTGCAGTATTTGGCATAATTTAGATGTTGCGGGATCACACACCTAGTAAAACTAGCGCATCTCAGATCCACCGCAAATACCCGGATTTACGGGGCTTGACAACGGTTTCAAGTTCGATAATCCGAACCTTTTTCGATGGTTGACAAGGGTCATCTGAGTAGCAGACTCCCTAAGCAAGTTTTCCTGGCCTGCAGTCCATCGAAAAACGCGATATCTTCCCTTTCCCTACTTAGTGCTAAGACTCTACCTGAGCAGAGCAATTAGAAATACGGAAGGCGCGGGGGTTAACATTGCTTCCAGTGTCGTTACAATCAGCCAAATTGACGAGTCCATGTCCGGCCAATCATCAACGTCGATGATGTATTGGAGAAAATTAAGGGCTACGGTATGGACTGTCAGCCAGTATCACACCAGGCACAGGAATCTGCAGTGAATATAAGGACTGCTAATTTTAAAAGGTGTTTAGTGGCTTAGGTACCGTCTTTTATGAGTAGTGTGCCCTCTACGACTATGCGGTTTTGTGAGCGTTGGATTTCAGAGTAAATCCGATAAGAGAGGGCGATAAAATCATCCCTCTTCACGATGATTTGGTGATTCGTTAACCTGAAGGACTCTACGCTTTCAGCTGCAGATAGTAACTTGACTGACGACTGTGGGAAACGAATGAAGCTACGCAGTCACGGTTGTTGCAGAAAAAAGTGCCCGAGCGTGAATTGAGGGAGGTATTTGGAGAATTTACACTATCGGGCACTTCTCGTCTACCCATGGGCCTTCGTTTCAATTTGTGTAATTATCCACTTGTATGAACTCCCTGCCATAATCTATAGACAAAAGAATCTCATTAATATACTCCACTGGAAACTATGTTGTCATTCATAAATCCATCACTACACAATAGCCGATTTCTTATGCTGAGTCCACTGCTTTGAAAAATAGTCTGTTCGAGTTTTGTAGGAACCTACGCGCTTGGTAGATTAAAAAGACCAGTACCGCCATTTTTGCCAGGATAGGCCGACAGGCGTGGTCACACTATTACAACCTTATCCATCTGACTGCTATTCATGTAGACTGATTCAACCACAAGGCACGCGAAACATTGTTTCTCATAAAAAATTTGGGACCGACAAACAGATCTGAACAGGCGAACCCCATGTGACAAGGCCGTCACCTGGCGACATCGGCTGCGGACACCATAGTTCGATCGCCGCAAGCTACGAAGTCCACTGCTGTCTCAGGGATGAGTGCGGTCGTGGCTTTCAGGTGAATTCGCCCAAAGTAGAGCCGACTTGCGTCTTACCTACCTCACTATCGCTCTCAACATTCACGTTTTCCGAAGGCAAGAGGAAGTCAAGACGCAAGGTGGGACGCGAGGACGTTGGCGGCCAAGGTTAACCAGCCCGTCTGCTCCAGTCACACACACGTCCTGAGTTTCCTTTATAACTGCGCGTGTACTAGGTTCTGTTTCAGACGGGTGATGGGCTGTCTCGGATCTCAGGTGAGTTGGAGTGTCAATAAGTCCACATTTAGAAAGTGTCACTACAGTCTGTCCCCAGTCTGGCACAGAAAAGGGCCACTCTGTCAGTTAACAACGTCTCAGGCCGTCGCTTATGAAGTCTGGTAATAGGTACAGACATGCAAATTTATTATGGTGAGGAATGCGCTGGGTTAGTCGGGATCAGCCTCACTCTCCTTTCCCTTCAAATAAATGATGACCTGTCGGGACATTTCCAGGTTGGACACAATGGTCGACGTGACTTTCTAGCCTTCGTTTAACGCCAAATTACTCATAAGTATTCACTTACAGATCATGAAACATATTTTAAGCTCTCAAACCAGCTTAGAAGGTTAGGAAAAACCTCGAAACATCGACTCTAAGGTAGTGTTGGTGCTCGCACGAGCAGTTATCTGCCCACCAGGGTACCTGACAGTCATTACCCCGATGCCCGAGGTCTTTGATTAAGACCCCCACTGTGTCAATATGCCATTAACCTTCTCAGAGGGCAGTTTCAGACACATTGACCTTACAGTCTGACTGACCGCAACATGGTCACACGCATGCGCAATCAGGCGGCGGCAGTCGCCCATGCCTCACATGGACACGCCAGTCCTTGGTTAAGGCTACACGCACACACACACAGCCCGGACAAAGACACGGACCTGCTCCCACAAGCCTACTAAAGCAGCTGGCACCACTGCCTTGCAGCCTCAGCCCACGCCGCGGTCTTGCCAGTGGCCACTGCCAGCTGAGACAGCATCTCAGAATTCTGTGCACAATGAATTCCCCCTTCGTCTGGTGCTTTCGATACTTTGCTACTCGGAACCCTGGGCTGATGATTTCGGCGCCCTGTGTACAGTCTCTGCTTAGACGCAACACTAAAATTCATTATTGGAGTTCAAATATGTGTAAAAAAAATAGGGAAACTTCTGTACAGTAGTAATGTCACTTATGCCAATTTTCCACCTGTCTGTCTTTAACCGACAGTGATGGATACTTCTGCTGGCAGAAAGAAGAACTTGGAGCCTAACTGTTGTTCGTAAGCCCAACAAAATAAACCAAATTAACAGGTCGATGATTTGCAAGTACAGTTCTGAAGTTCCGACCAGGCTTTTCTTTCTCACAGAAAATTAAATTACGGTCTTCTTCCCTGAGTTGTTCAAAATTTTGGTTTTTTTCTCTTCTAAAGAGATTACCTACCAATCGCCGTGCATGCCCGGAGGGGCAGTACGCCGGGGCCGACCGCACTTAGATAGTGCATTGATATACCGAGGAGTTCTTAATTTACCTCACTTACCTGCCTGTGCGCCTTCCCGTTGCGTTTTCCTCTTGGAAGCCACATGGCCATTTGTTCTGCTGGTCGTCATTTAGGTGTATGCACAGTGGTAAAAGCCACCGACTGGCCTAACAAGTTTCCCATGTTCATTAAGGGGTAAGCATACTGCGCAGGTTTGCGACTGAATTCGGACAGTTGTGAAATTCTGCGCAGTTTCTTCCCAATCTCCCCATATGTTTAACAAATGTGGACATTTGGTGCATGGCAAATTGGCTATCTTGCCAAAAACGTAGTCTGACCACCATGTACCGCGTGGTACCGTTTAAACCATGAAATAATAAATTAGGGTGAGGGGAGTACAGATCCGAATGCTGCGTCATAAATAGAATGTCCTGTTCCACTTTGTGCAATCTGATGGAACGAGAGAACATATAGACTACTTCTAAGTGAGAACTGATTAGCAAAATTGATGAGCGCATATAAAATACAATCACGGAAGAGACAGCTGAAGCAATTAAGTTTTCGGAATGCGTTGCAAGGATCAAAAGCGAGACAGAAGAGTCGGTGCCCAGTCAGCGAGCATTTGGATTCCAAGTGGTGCAACCCCGAAGTATTACTCTCGGCGACGAATTGCACTCTTGCGAAGCCCTGCGGGGTTTACAGTTTGGAAACGGTTCACCTAGGCACTTTAAGTGCTCTGTTAACTCCACGACTAGTGCAACAGCCTACCGCATAAAAAGATATTAAAGGAAACTCAAGCATGAACTCCGAAGAACTGACGAGTCTCGAGATGAAATAACGTGGGATCATTCATAAGAAACCCAGTGAAAACTCTGGTTTAGTTTTTAGCAGTACAGCTTTCCTTATTATCGGAATGCTTTGTTTCAAACATGATAGACAGTTGCATTAAGCAACTGTCGGTACTGCTTCCGTGAAAATAGTCGTAATGCATTTTCTAACAAAGCATTCAAAGTTAAATAAATTACCCTGATCCTATTAGAAGTCACAAAAGTTATGGGCGTTCGCTGCGCCTGTTGGACAATTCCATGTTTGTAACTACTGATTATGTTTACCGTAGATCAAACAGACGCTCCCATTTAATGAAAAATCTTCATAGAAACGATATGGAATCCACCATACCCCCACCCATTTCCACACTTTCCTTGCCCTAGCAGTCCTCGAAACCTGTGGGGACGTGAAAATAAACTTTGGAATTGTGCTATCTGGACTAGACTGCTACTGACATAAAACTGATGTTTTCAGTCCGTTTTTTATATTGGAAAAATGATAAACCTAAGGCTGATACCCAAATCTCCTTTTTAAAGGGACCTGTGGCACTCTCACACATGTGAGGAGTGTGTGTTACTTATCGGGTAGTGCTTTTCATTCGCTGACTGACTGGCTACCCACCCTTTGAAGGGTTATGGCCCCGGCAAATTTAAGGCTGTGTGTCATCCTTCAAGGCCTTAAGTATTATGAGCGTCCACCACGCCATGATCAGCAAGCCATGGCCCTCGCAGCCAGATTTGCCCTGGCAGTTCTCTGATACCTGGTTCTCCGGAGGTAGGTGCGCTCGCGCTCCCGCTGGGTATACGGGTCGTGTGCATGACTGCCCAGTCATCCACGTCGTTTCTGTTGTTGTTTAGGTCAAGATTCCGGTCAAGTATTTGTTGTACATCAGGGGATGTGGAGTGGAACGCCAAGGCGAGGGTTCCTGTAAGCCACTCACGCCACTCACCTGCGTCCTCCCCGCCTTCGGTCTTCTTGACTCTGTCTTGACACCGGGCCCAAGTGGGGAGGAGGCGAGAGTGCGGTAGATGTTGTTTAGGTCTACACTCACTATAAATTAATTAACGCGCAAGTCACCGTGCCTGCTTCTTCTTGCTGTGGAGCACACGGTGGACATAATCGGGTGCGACGGTCGAACTACCACCATCACTTAGATCTCTCTCTTCGGTGGATGTCAAGTTTCAAGTGGTCGACATTATTCGACATTCGTATCAGTGTCCTAGTTTCAGAAACCATGTTTAGGTATACATAATTTGATGTCTTATTTAGGTAAAAAGCCGATTTCCGCGCATGGGAAGGAACAAGAAGAGGCGGATAGTGTATTAGGGGGGAGGAATGGGACAGGGACTGGAATATTTCTGGGAAGAGCATGAGTCGACGACCGCATGTTCGGAGGGACGGAGGTGAGGGGGGAACGTGGATCGTGAATAAAGGATACTCCTCGTGTTCATTATCATGTCTCCCGAAATTTCCTCGGCTAAAAACCTAAGAGGATAATTGTTCCTGTGATGATAGATTCTGCCCTCAGCGACGATTGTTTTCTGCCTGAAATACTTCAGCCTACATTCGCTGTCAAAATAACTATCGCAATCCCCATTTCGAGATATTTGTTGACTGCTCTCTGATATCTGCAGAGGAGATTGTTTTTTCAATCATCCTGCCTGCATTTTTTATCTTTTCCGGCTAAGTTATAACCCTTTCGACTCAAGAACGCTGTCATATTACCTCAACTACCTCAGGTGTCGCTCTTCGAGTACTGCTAGATACTGGGCTTTAAAGTTCCCTTCTGCCTCCCCAATCATTAACTATCTTCCTTTGAGGCGACATTTTCTATTCACTACGAGATCTATTTCACATGACGTTCGGTAAAAAATGCTGCTGTTCTATTTGCCATTTGGATGTTTTGACTTCGTTACCACAGAAGGTTACCATGGCTTTACTTTTTACATAATTTATCTGCAACCCATCGAGGTGCTGGATCGTTTAGATCAAACTGGCATTACGTTCAAGCTGATTCCTTTTGAAGGTTTCGATAACCTATGAAGCTGGTACTATTTTTAGGTGCCGTAACATTTCAATGGTATGAAGGTTTAATTAGTCTCACCTAAGCCTATCCCCTACCAATTCAAAGTAGGATTACTGACCCTTATTGTTTTTCATCCTAGGAAATTACTCTGTTACAGTCACTGATGCATACTATTAAACCGAAGGCAGTTTGCAGGTATAGGTAAAGTGGAGATTTTGATGACGAGAGTTTTGGATCGAATGTGCATTCGCTTTCCGAGTTTTATAGTTTCCAGCCTCTGTTGATTGTTGCATCAACTGGACCGAGTAAAACGAGGTACTCCTTTCCCATTGATCGTATTGGAGAGCCGGAAAGAGAGGGCGAATCTAATTTCAGCAAAGAGAACATTTGCCAAAGCAGACTACGGCAAGCAGGAATTTCACACAGACGGAACAATTTTATGCAAGATGCGGTCCAGGGACCAGCCAGCCGAGTTCGCTCTATCGCCGACCTGTGGCTGCTATGCCTGCCAGCCGCGCGAATTACACTGTATTTTCTCCTGTCTGACTCGTAAGGCCACAGCCTTTTTAGTCTGGGCGGCTGTTACGCCGAGACTGTAGGACGAATCACTTGCGTGCCAAGTTGGATTTCAACCATCCCAGTGTGGTAAGGCCCGACAGAGACTGGGAAAATCAGGCCTCTACCGCTTGCTCAATAATTTAGGCAAGAGAGTTCTGGTAATTCTAAAGAGAAGACTTAAAAGACTGCAGAGCCAAGAGCCAACCAGCCAAACTGACGAGAACTTGTAGGAACCAGAAGAAATGAAATTTACGTGAGAAAGAAAAGCACTAAAAAGCGAACTGACCATGCTGAGAACAGAGTTTAGGCGTTTGCAATGGACAACGAAAATAAGTGTTATTTTTTTAGTGAGAATAGGCGAACAGGAAGAAGCATCACATTTCAAACTGATTCCATTCATCATGGAGGAATAACTTCTCAAAAGGAATTTTGAGGGAATTCAGATACACTTCTTATGCGCATTTCTCAGACCTAAAAAGTAGGTACTCTCACCACTAAATGGAATTAGACAAATTTTGCCTGAAAGGACGCCTGAAGTCTAGACAGTGTTGAAAAGTGTTGAGCATTCGTGTTGGAACCATTCTAGTAAATCGAAAGGGATTTTCCTGCAACACCAAAAACCAGCATTTAAGCTAAAATGGAAACCAAATAGCTGCTAAACAAACATATTTAATGCACACTTGGCTGGGTACATAAGAACGTCTTCAAGAAACGCTTCTCAACTTTGTATGCCAAAAACGTTTTTGTTGCACAGCAACTTCACCAGGGAGACACGGTTGTGCCAACTGCAGGACGCTATTGGCACGACAGCCTTGGATGTCTTCGGATGCGCACATTGTCAGCATCAGGACTGTTTCGACGACAATGGCGCATAAGCCAACTGTTTACCGAAAAGCACGGACTTCACAAGGCCTACATGAACCATCGGACCTAGACCAACACAGCAGCCTTCTTCTGCTATCGCCGCCTCGCGCAGCAGCGACTGAGGGAGATGCTGGACGCCCGAATGTCTCGTATGGTCGGGAAAAGCAAGGAGTATGACAACTGCAATGAAACCAAAAGCTTCTTTGCGCAGATCACGGCGGTCTGTGGCCCGCAAACTAAGGAAATCGCGCCGCTTCTCAGCTCCGATGGAATAATGTTTCCGATGGAGAAATTTCAGATTCTGAAGCGCTGGACTGAGCACTTCAGAAGTATCCTCAACTGCCCATTCATGATCTCCGACGCCGCCGGCGTCAACGGATTGAAGCAGGACTGCGTACTCGTCCCAGCCCTCTTCAACCTCTTGTTTTACACCATGCTACTGGACTTCTACTATGATAAGTCTTCCCGAATCCTCACCGTCTACAGGATCGATGGGCATCTTCTCAACAACCGGTGCATCCAGGCCTCAACATGTCTGTCCATGACTACTATCCACGACCTGCCCTATGCCAACGACCGAGCGCTCAACACCGAAACGGACAGTGACATGCAACGGAGGATGGAACTCCTCGCCTCCGGCTGCGCCAACTTTGGGCTGACCATCAACACGGACAAAACGGTTGTCAAGCCTCAGTCGTCCGCAACGCTATATTTATTGTTCCGCACATACACGTCAAATGCACCCGACTGAAGTCTGTAGACAAATTCACCCACTTAGACAGCACACTCTCGCATTGTATCAAAATCGACGATGAATTGGCCTACCGGATATCCAGATCCAGCCAAAACTTCGGCCGGCTGCAGAACTCCGTATGGAATCGTCACGGTCACTATCTCAACATCAGTCGGAAGATGTACAAAGCGGTCATCTTGACGACTTCGTTGAATAATGAGAAGACCTGGACAATCTACGAGAAATAGGCGCGCAAACTCAACCATTTCCATTTCAATTGTCTCTGCTGCATAAAAAAACTGGGGTGGCAGGACAGGATCTCGGACACAGAAGTTCCGGAACGGACTGGAATCCTCAGCATCCACGCCATGCTGAGGCAACTGCAACTACGATGGAACCGCCATCTCGAAAGAATGGAAAACAAGCGCCTATCAAAACAATCCCTTTATGGAGGTATTGTTTCGGTTGCTTGTCGGCAGGGAGGTAAAACCACTTTTTTCTAGGGCACCTTGGGGAATTCCTTGAAGCAGCTACCAGCTGACCCTAAGATTTGAAAAGAACTGACTGGCCTGGAGAAGAGAAGTGAAAGGTCGAGCAGCAATCTTTGAAGCCAACTGGATCGCCGCTGCCAAAGCCAAAGGGGGAGCTTGCAAGCCTCACGCGTCCCTGACTCGCAACGGTGACCCCCCCCCTCCCAATATGCCTGCGCTGTCAACTAACATTCCGCGCGCGAATCGACCTTGTGGGACATCTCCGGACTCAGTGCATTAGCCCGACAACTCTAACCACTGCCTCTCCAACTCTCCCTGCCCCCACGGCATCCATTACGATGACTGTCCTCACCGCCGATACTCAGTATCCCCGCGCCCCGCACCATCGGTAACCGTCATCTCCGTAATCCCTGCCATAGTCCCCGCGGCACCGACAACCACCACAGCTCTAACTCCCACCACCGGCCGAAGCGCTCCCGACGACTCGCCAACCATCACCCTCATTATTACCACCCTCACCTCCAGCGATGTTGTCTTGGTCCTAGCACTTCCTCAGTAGGATCGCACATTCGCCTCATGAATCGGCTTTATAGACCACTTGCGAATCCGTCGCACTGTGGCCTGCGCACACCTTCCCACACCCAATCGGCGCATACCTACCCAATGTCCACACGGTCTACGCACGTTCACACACCACGTGGACCTAGTCGGTCACATGTGCATCTCAAAGAGCAGAATTCACCACAATATCGACACACCTAATACACCTTGCACATCCGCTATCGTCCCCATCTCCGTCCCAATCAATTTCCCATCCACCAACATGCCCAACACTAGCAGCACTACAACGACAACCGATGCTTCATCCTCCAGCTTATCCTGCCACATTGTCATTGCACGCTCACCTCACACATAGGCCTGGTCAGTCAATTCCGTATCCGTCGCACGGAGACTAGTGGCTCCTATGCCACATATGAGATCCGAATGTCCTACCTCTTTGTGTGTGAAATCCTGGTGTGTGCGTATGGGGTACACGTCATGTATGTGACAGACGCAGACGAGTTGTTCTCAGCTCTGTCAGTCACCTCTCGGAACCTCATCAGTAGGTTGGCCGGTTTGGACAGTCGACGGGTGCATGAGACAGAGTGGAGTAGGTAACGTCGACTTTCTGCACATATTTTCACTATAAACAATCTGACGCGTTGGATACTATCACGGTGCTTAAAAAGCCGTAGCCTGGAAGGTTACCAACTGACGCTCTAACTCAAATCACACAGTCAGCCCAGCTGTGTGTTTGTGAGTCGAGTGGCTGACTGGTGGACTGCGAGTCAGACTACGATAGTTCCTTTGTGATGTTGCTCTCCCACACATGCGAGATCTGAGTCGCATCTCCCTTGTGTGCGAAGTACTAGTGCACGTGTTTGGGGAGCCAGGTGACGCGCGCAGATGGACTCTTTAGTCCTATCAGTCACTGCGCCCACTTCCGTCATCAGGCGTTTGGCCTGCTCGGACAGTGGACTCGTGCCTGGGAATGGGAGGAGAGAGTACCTTGCACAATCTCATCGTATGTTCCTCTCTACAAACGATCTGACGCGTTTGAACTTCTCACGATACTCAAAAAACCGTGGTCTGGAATGTTACCATCTGTCGTTATGATTCGGAACTCGCAGTCAGCATGGTGTGTGTTTGGCCGAACTAGTGGACTGGTGGAGAGAGAGTCGGGTTGCAGTGACTCCTTTCTGTGGCTTTCATGGCACTCCACGCTCAGTGGAATCCGAGCCGCTCACCCTTTTGTTATTAACGCATAGATTCCTTGTCGGCGTACGTTGTGGACCAGGAGTGTGGTGATACGCCTAGGTGCAAATTCCTGCCGTGCCAGCTACCTGTGCCCTCTCCGACCTCCGGTCTCCTTGACAATGCCTTGACATAGGATTCAGGTGGGGGGATGAGGAGGGTGTGCGGCGGACGCTGTGCAAGTCTACTATCATTATAAACCCATTCACGGGCAAGTCACCTTGCCTGCTTCACTATGCTGTGGAGCACACGACGGACATCGTCGGCAGCGGTTGTCGAACTGTCGCGCGTGAACGCGAATAAGCCTCGTCGCACACCTTCGAACGCAATGCATCAGTAACCCAGCAACCTCAACCGTTACAACCACCTAGTCCCTATCGTTAAACTCGTCCTCACCCCACGGCGTACATGACGTCTACCGCCCCTACCAGTGGTGATCACACCTCCGATGCCCCGCCGCCCTCGATCACCGGCGGCATCCTCCCTACCGCAACCCCCCTGTCAGTCACGGGGACGGTGGCGGCGGCGTCGGCAGCGACAGCCACCAATACCACCAGCGCTAAGACCACTTCCAACGTCCTAACATTAGCTCGCCTCAACAACACGAACACTGGCGACTCGATCCCAACGTGTCGTTATTGCGATCGTGCATCCATCTCATGCACTGGTCTGGTCGGTCACTTTCGAATTCGCCTCACAAAGAGCGACAAACCAGTAGCAGAAACACCAAAATACACCCGTTGCACCCGCCCTCACTGTCCACGCAGTCTTCGCATATCCACTCACCGCATGGATTTATTCGGCCACATGCGCACATATGACAACGGAATCCACCGCGATGTCGACACACCGAACTCGTCCTACAGTAGATGCAGCGCAAGTCCTCTATCCCTATAGACTGCATCACTCCCACATTACCGTCCCTGCTCTTGACTTGCTGTGGAGCTGAAGGTAGAAATCGTCGGTTATGACGGTCAAACTGTTACGTGTGTGGAACAAGACGCTCCTTCGTCGGTCGGTTGAATTAATACAGACTTCTAATTTTGGGATGTTCTCCCTCTTCGGAAACCCGCCGGAAGAGGTGCGATTGTGGCTTGCCGAAGTCTGCAGCGAGATTTCGAATCGTGTCTGTAGGCCTACGAGGCCACTTGGGAAATTTGGAAATTATGCTGTGGAAAGATTTGGTCTTTGTGTGCAAACATAAGAGAAATATTCTCGTTTGACTGAGGCGATGCCAGGTCTGCATGATATTCGCAAGGAATAGGAGGAGGACCAGTGAGTAAAGACCTATGCACAGCCCATTTCGGCCTGAGCACACCTCTGATGCTTCATCTGGGGGTGACGACAATTAACCGGTACACCAGTTTTTTTAACTCTTCTACGTTTAACCTTGCGGGAAGGCAGAATGCTGGGGACATGTCTGCAGAAGCTTAAGGTCAAAGAACTCTAATCAATTCACTGATTTAAACAGGTGTTATCCTGACGTTTCCACGTCGGCAAACACTAACTGTTTTCACTTAGTTAATAATGCTCTAAAAATCAATTATATTTCCAATAAATAGATTCGTACTTCACACTTTACGTTGTCCAGACGGTCGCTGGTGCGTTTTCTTGTGGGTTGGGGAGAATTGAGGTTAATAATTCTCTTTAATGTTTAACTAAGAGTATAACACTATTCATATTCATATTGACCCAACTGTGAAAATATCTATGAATTACGCACGCCTGGTAGTCATCTGGTGGATTCTAAGTGAATTACTTCGGAAATCCTGCTGGGGCAGTCAACTTACTGTATCAGATTTGGTGGATTCCAGACTTTGCAGTAGGTTGGGCGGGTAACTTAACCCAAATGTGATTAAACTCGCGTCGTCCGGCGGAGCCTCGTAGCTCAGGTGTTTAGAGCGTTGACTGTATTAAAGCCTTCCCCTTACTGCGTGGATTGGAATCCCACCGTAACGCCGAGTTTTTCATAGTTGGGTCAGTATGAATCATTACGAATCTGCCAAAACAACTATGTATAACAGTATTCGTTTATTCTGTCATAAACCTAAATTAATTCCCATTTCATGTATATCTCTTCCGCCAAAAACTACGGCATACAAGTGAGGCACCACGGGTAGGAGACCGATCCAAAACTAGAACAATTCGATTATTTTTCTGAGCTATCGAACTCGTGCAGGTGTGTATATTCAGAGACGACAGCGATAACGGGATGAGTGACAGAAGTAGGAGGTTGCTAATAGAGCCGAAAAAGTGAGTTCCGGGAATCAGTTGAGCAGAAGGGGATGCGATCGCTGGACCAAAAATCTTCTTCGTCTGACCTCTCAGGTCCTCCGTCGAACTTATGCTCTGAGAGGGTCGTAGATAATGGTGATAGATGTAGAAGGGACGCAGGCTATGTGGGATTTAGTTGCAGTGCTGCCATATACTGTCCATAATTAGCAGCTCTCCCATTCAGCGCGGATAGTCCTGTTTGGTGTGGCTAAAATTTGCTTGTCCGTATCCGAGTCGTTGATTGCCGCAGTTTTGTCGTCGGTCCTGATTAGTGGCGTGATTATTACGCCATCACTCCTATCGCCAGCTGTCTCTGATGATAGGTTCCAGCAAGGAAATGAAACGCCAAGCGAATAAAATTCTTGTTCCAGCAATCGCATCTCCATCTCTTCAGTTGTGAGGAGTATTAGTCAATAAATTATCAGTGTCACGGGTCCGCAGGTGACTGCGCGGGACTCT